ATGTATTTGAATGGCTTTGTACCGCGTGCATGATTTTAACAGACTAAAAATAGCAAGGTTAAAATGATGTAGGCTTCTTTTATCAGAAGTATATAAGTAAAGATTACAATGTATAATCGTTCTTTTTCTCATTGTGATTAAAATCTTCATTTGTAAATTATGTTTGTTGCCTTTTGTGAGAAGAAAAAAATGAAAAGTTCAAGTTTGTTTAGTATTTGAATGATCAAACAAATGATTTTTTTTCAGACAATAAAGATACAATAAAAAAGTAAAATATTCAAAAATTGATTTGTATTATATACAACTGAAATTATAGGAAATGGATATTTACAGAAATCGGTGAAATCAAAAGCCGACGAATATCGATAATAGAATTAATTGTGATAACTATTCTTGTATTACATTTCTCAGAGGTTTACGAATAAACGTAACATCTTGATGTAGTTTATTTAGATTAATGATCTGCTCGATAATTCTCAGTTGAATATAATAAAGTACTTTTTATCCATAATTTTCTCATTTTTTAAAATTCAATGAAGTTCATGTGACAAACAATCTCTTTTAATTCAATTGAAATATGTTTCCATCTTAATCGATAATACATTCGCGCATAGAATGTTTGATCGCTATCCATTCAATATACACAACATTAAACAACTTCACACATACACGAAAGGGAAAAACAAAATTGATTAGAAATAATCGTATCAACAGTCCATGTTCTCATATATATATATATGCTTGTAGAGGTGTGAGTAACTCTCTCCTATCGTCATCATCTATCGTAGTGCCATACACACACACGACTACTCTTGAAAATGTCATCGAGTTCACTTCATTTACATGAACACAATAAAGGCAACATCTTGTCGATTTTTATGAGCCATGCATGCAAACGAATAGATGTAATACATTTGACATAAAGTCTTAATAATATTAAAATAGACAAGTTATGGATCAGAGAGATTTATGAGAAAAGAAAATGAATGAAAGTGAATTGAATAATATAATTTCAAAAAAGATATGTCATATCAATTTCATACGTAATAATAATTGTGATCATGGTTAGTTGAACTAAATGTCATGATCTTTTTTTAAATTAAGAATAGTAGAATAAATGTTAACTAATACGGACTCAGACTAAATTAGCTTTAGTAGATACACATGCTGAGAGAACAAAACAAGTTTTACTTCGGCAGGTGTTCACCATGTGAGAAGTCTCAATCTATCAACTTTTTTTTTTCTTGCGCTAATTCACTGTCTATACGTTGCTCAATAGAAGAAAAGCTTTAGTGATATATGTATATTTTTTTGACAAAGCTATTGTCTTTTTCTCCTTTTTCTTTTAAAGCATACTTCCTCTTTTTGTCTCCTTCGCTCTTGATTAGTACCACGGAAATCATCCATATTCTCTGCATGACAGAAGAGATGTGAGTAGTATTGGTGCCAACTGTCTCTCGAGGCATTCACTGGACAATAGGGTACTACTGACCCCCATCGTTAATCAAGACGATGCGCACATATTGGTTACCTAATACACTCTCCTATACGTAATCTAACGAAAAAAAATATGACAACTCTGCTCTTTCTCTTTTTCTCACTATACATATTTGTCAGTATCAAGAAAATGAGGACAATAAAGAAAAGGAAGAAGAAGAAGAAGAATCAGTCGATTGCGTGCAACAATGCACTTGTCTCATTCACATCAAATGTTGTCGAATTGTAAGTTGACCCATCCTTATTTTCTGGATAGTAGCGCTGAACAATACAATATGTGTATATATATATATACTTTTTTATATGGACTATATCCCTAGGCATAGGATAAATAGACATGTACAAAGAGAGAAATAAAAAATCAGATCACATCTTTTCATATGTGTCTTGATCAAAGACGATATGACTAGATAACTATCGGAGACAAAAAGAGAATTTATCTTCTGTCATACATACGTGTATATATACATATACAGGTAATTGGAGGTTTTTTTAACAAGTATAAAAACTGTCTGAACCCATGAGCACTAATTGATTGGCATTCTCATTAGTATTGACCCGTCTCAATTGTTTGTATTACGAGACTAAGAAGTAGAGTAAAGAGTTCAACTCACACCTTACTCAGTCTAATTAGTTTACTGAGACGATCTTGTCTTCTCTCTTCAATATGCATACATTTCATTTTTTTATGTATGTTGAACATTCAAATAGGTGTCAAGTACAGACAGACGACGCTTATCATTTGTGGTCATCAGAATATGAGTACATACGATAAAAAACCAATTTTACTCGTCGTTCTGTCTTTTCTATTCTCAAATAATTTATGTACAACAATCATCAAACTGACCACATAGAGAGAAATGAGAGAAAGAAAAGTATGCAGTAAAAGAGAGTATACACAGACATCACTTCACCATAACATTCTCGGCATATATATATATTCTGACACACACATATACACACACTACGCAGGTATGTAAGAAGAAGAAGAAGAAGAAAAAAACGGATATTTGAAAACGTGTTCAATGATGGAGGTTATTTGCCGACAGAATGAACATGATTGATGTGACATTGAAGAACTTGACACCAGGATTGACTAACCCTTCAGGCAGACTCGTTAAATATCCGTTTAAAAGCAAACTCTTGAAACGAAAAAAACAAAATTACACAATCTGTCAAGTTAATAAATGATCCCTCATTTGCTTTTGATGCTTGTTTTATGTGATAGACTATATGTACACATATAGATGTTGAGTATTCTCATTTTACCTTAAATAAAGAATAAATGCTGAGATGCCGCCGCTATCCTATCATAAGAAACAAATGTGATTGTTTAACAATCAAGTGAGAAGATGAAGAAAAGTCATTGACACATTTAAATCTTAGAAGTTCATGTGAAAAAGAAACATATCTTGTTTTTTTTATTCAATAAGCAAATTTGAGAATAACAAGTAAAAAATAAAGGAGAAGAAAGTGAAATTTTTATCAGATTAACACATAAAGACTATTATAAATAAGTCAAGATAGTTATCGGAAGGCTTTTTTTTCATTTATGATAAATGAGATTGAATATATATATTCAGTAAGTTTTTATTATGATTTATGTTATCAATTTTCATTCATTACGAAAAATTTTAAAAAAAAAGATCTAAGATATAGAATTTTGTAGAATATTGTTTTTTTATTGTAATAATCAAACAATTGAAAATCGAGATAGGTTTAATTAACTTAAATTCGTAATTTTGTTAAAGTATTCTAATGAAACTTCTATACACACACATACATATATATTACTTTTATCATTGTTTGATTTGGTTCATTTTTCATTATTATGATTATTTGAGGGTATTAAAAAGCAGTCTCTATCTGTCTAGTCATCCATTAGTGTCTGTACGCGTGGCTGCAAATATACACGTGCATGCTCTTGTTGATTTCGATGATTTATGGTATTTAACCATTTGTTCCACAATTGTGATCTCTCTTTACCTTGAATATATGAATGCTTCTCCTCCTTCATTTCTATTTTCTACGATTTATTGTTATTTGATGCGCTTTATGCCATATGTACATATACATATGTGTATATATAAGAGTTTTTTTTTGTTATCGTCTTCTTCTTTCTATATGATTGAACATGAGTGAAGGTCACACAAGTAAGGTATGTCCTATAATTATATTCTGTTGACCAAACTACTGTTTGAAAAGAAATCAAATTAGAAACACCTTCCTGTGACACGACATCGTAAAGTAACGAGCAAAAGCGAGAAAGAGATGGGGAGAAAGAAACTCTAATTATCAGTATGATTCGAAAATGGACATAGGAAGAAGGAGAAGAAGATGATGATGATAATAATGATAGTGATGTATCGAGATTGATTGCAATAAATATTTGTATATATATAGATATATATGAGTGTGTGTGTGTGTGTGTGTACAGGACATGCTAAAGAAAAGAAAATGAATAGATGTATCATTACTTAGAATAGTGGCGAAGAGAGATATAGAGCGAGAGAGAGAGAGAGTAGAAGCTTTGAACTTATTCTCTCTATACTCAGTTAGTGTCATTTACGTATGTACAATATAAACAATGATATAGTCACGGACCATGATACCCTTTGAACATGTCTTATTCGTTTGTACTGTCCGATCATAAAACAACGATGATAGACAATATTGAAGTACCAATAGAAAGTATAGATATGATATGATTATTATTATCATTTGCTTATTTTTATATTCGAATTTACATTAGTATTTTAATAGCATCCTTCTATTTATTCGTAAGTAGACTACTCCTTGCTTTTAATCCAATGGTATTGTTATAACTAACCACATTTCTTTTTTTTTATAATTACTTCGTTTCTTTTTGTTGTATTCATTGTCTAATAATGTTAAGCTTGCCGTGTTTAATATTTCTTTTCTTAACACCATCTTATTACTTCTCATAAAATACTTTTACACATACGTAAGGACAAGGTCGTCATTAATATAATATCATTTTTTATTAGAGAAAAAGTTCTTCAAATTTAATTAAAGATTCATGTCGATTTTATTTTCTCACGTATAAGTACGAGTAAGACTGAAGGTATTATCTATGCAAGCAATAATCATCTACTATTTTTCCATTTAAAAGTGTACAGTTAACAGAAGACTAATTTAAGGAAAAGCGCTTTGTATTTGTCATGCTGTCTCGTGCATACATACGCATTACGTCTGTCAACACTTCGGATCGTCTCACATGCACATCAAAAAAAAAAAGAAGAAGAAGAGAGAAGTAAGCAAGCAAGCAAAAGAGTCCACTTCTCCCCTAATTCTCTCTCTTCTCTTCTCTTCTCTTTCTTTCCTATTCTCTATATTCTTCTTGAGAGAAGTAATAATTGTTGAACTGTGTCACATATGAACAAACGTGATAGAAAGAAAAGAAGAGAGAGAGAATAAGAATCGAACGTAAGGGTTGCTTTTCTTTCTTTTCATTTTTATTATAGATTTAACAGTATGAAACAATGAATCGAACTTTATCCGATTTCAAAATTAGTTCATTTAATGATGTTAATCATTATCAAAAATATGAAACATGTCGAAAAGAATCTGCATGTTATCTTCTTGCACCTCCACCACGTCCTCCAACAATTCCTGAATTATTTTTAACAACAACTTGTAAATTATCATTGAGTTCATCTTCGACAATAACAAATGCTCATCAACGTACAACAGATTCGTCATATTTAACAATTCTTTCCATTATTCTTGGAATATTAATTGCTGTAACATCAACTTGTCTTATATTATTTATACTCGGTGTTAAGTAAGAAGAAAGATTCCTTTTTCTTTGGCCTTTGAATATTATATTTCAATTTCTTTTATTTATAGATTTCGATTTTATCATAAATTACGATATCGTCATCGTCGAACACCAGGCATTGATAGTGTGAATAGCAGCATACGAGAAACGAACAACAGTGATGTGGCATTTATCAAAACAACAAATACAAAGGGCAATCTTGGTAGCAATAGTAGTGGCGGCGGTGACGGATGTGCATCATTCTCGAGTGTAAGAGAATTATGTAATCATTATTACAAGATAAATAGCATTGTCTATAAGAATAGGCAATCCGAGTTAATTGTAGCCAAGTGGGATAAACGTAATGAATTCAAAGCGGATGTTTGAAGAGAAAGAGAGAGAGAGAGATGGATAGTAGAAACTGTTTACATTAAAGCTCTTCTTATCATGAGAATAAATAGATAAACTAGACAAAAGAATCTCAAACAGATGGATACTTGTCAATACACGAGAAAAAACAATATGTTAACAGATTGAAAAAAATGAATATAAATTGAAATAAATTATAAGTATTTCGAAAAAAAGGAGATAAATGTACTTAACTGATTAAAATATTTATCACTTTTATTTTATATAGACGAAAAAAGAGAAGTAAGATTATCATTCGCTAAATTCAATCTTTTGATTACATATTTTAAATAAGGAAGGAAATCGGAAGTTATTGAATAAATTACTATAAACTAATGAAATTAAATTTATATAATTTTATTTTTTTGAATATAGGTTGCACCAACTTCATATGGTTGTTTAACTCCGTTAACAACTACAACAATTGCTCATAATCAATATCCATCATTAACCATGAGAAATAATTCAAATTTAAGTCTTCAAATGACACAAAGTCAACAACATCTAAATTCTGATGAAGCATCATCATCTTCTCATCATAATTCAACAAATATTTATGAAGAAATTCGTCCATCCTATGATCGTCATCCTTGTTGCTGTTGTTCATGTACTTTTGCACATTATCAACAACAACAACAACAATATCTATCGTCTAATTCTCATTTAATACCACATTATTACACATGTGAATCACCTTCTCTACCAGCATCATCGACAATTGTATGTCAGACTTGTTTATTAGAAACTTTACATCGTAAACAATCTAAAACATCAACTATGAATTGTGCATGTCACAATTTCTTTGTACCGATCAAATAAAAAAATACAAAACATCTATATATTCTATATATTTTTCAATATTCGTAAAATATCAAAGATTATAACCTGTTTGATCAAGTATTATATCAATAGTGTGCGTGTGTGTGTCATGGCATATATTGTGTTTTTTTCTTCTTCTTTTGCTTCTTTATGAAGGTTGACTATTGTTTTTGACCTCCTGCTGCACGTGACTACACTTTTATCCATGTCCTCTTATTACTGATGCTCATTTGAACGGAATGAAGAGATTTATAATCTTCAGCACATATATATATATATATACGTACGTATGCAAACGTCTTTGGTGAGCGGAAACGCTAGATGAATAATTATAATGATAATAACCTTGAAAAGAAAGACTCAAAAGCAATCGACCATATTTAATGAATTGAAGAAAAAAAGGCATCATATGACAAAACGTTCAATCATCATTAAAAAATATCGATGAATTATTATGATTGGATTCAAATTTTTTTTTCCGAGAAATATTATATTTATTATAAATGCTTGATTGAATTAAACTAAAGTCAAATAATCATATTTCGATATCAAGATTATTATGAATTAAAAATTTCTTCTTAAATCAGATGATGTACTGATTTTTCCAAATTTGTAACAAAGATATTTGAGATTGAATATATGCCCAAATACAATTAGAGATATTTTAATGAATAAAAAATTGTACTAGTTCTTTTGAAATCAGTTAGGTGCGACTTCAGTCACCTTCTAATAAAATTCTTTTTTTTTGAAAAAAAACTAATCAAGATTTTATCATTTATCTTTGCTAAGATACACTTAGAATATTCCATATTTTATTCTATTAAAGTAAATTATAGTAAAAGTTTGTTCTATTCGAATAAGACAATACATATAATAATCAAGTATTTTCGTTGTCGTCTATGTTGTTTCTTTTGTTTTAAATAACTCTTTGATATATGAGTAGCATTTTTGATGCTGTGATGCTTTTCAAAAGGAAACTCTAGGAACATCATTATATGATTTCTTTCAGTTATAAATACATGCAAACTATTTTTGACAATATATATCTGGAATCTTTTTTGTTGTTAACAAAATGGTTATTAAAATAAATTAAATGTAAAAACAGATATTTTCAATATAAAACACTGATAGATTGATTGAACATTTCTTATAACGATAAAAAAGTGAAATTTAGATGTCTTACTGATTTACAATTTGATAAATTTTTTTTTTATAACATAAACTATATTTCTTGTCTTAGATCATAATTTTCATTCAATAAAACCACAAAGATATGTCTGTTATGGTTCGTTATGATCATAGCTCTTACTGGTAAACTAATCTAAGAACGACATGGAAATAAAAGGTTAATTACATTCACATATTTTTTTACACAATGTCTCCACTTATACAAAAATAATTCTTGATATTCATTTAAAACTCATAATTCGTTGAAATTCATGAAAATTAACTTTAAAATCTTTATCTAAAAGAATAGAAAAGAATGCATATTTAATAGCGAATTTTTAGAAGTAAATTAGATAGTGATATATACCAATATCAGCTTCACGAATCATTTCATCTATATCTTCATCTGTAATTTTTTCACCTAGATTTGTCATAATATCTCGTAAATCAGTTGTATTAATAAATCCATCACCATCTTGATCGAATAGATTAAAAGCGTCTCGAAGATTTTCTTCTGTTGTAACATTTTTTTTGATAAATGTTAACATAAAACTGAGATATTCTTCAAATTCAATTGTTCCTAACAAATAAAACGCTTGCAATTATTTTCAGTATAATTTAAATAGATACTACTTACCTGATTTATCAATATCTAGTTGACAAATAAATGTCGTTAACTCAGTTTCAGGAACATTATAGCCAAAACTTTCGAGAACCTTACTAATAAAAAAAACAATTAAATTATGAGTTCTTACATATGTTTTCAATATTAAAATTCATTTCATTGATTACCTAAATTGTTCTGTTGTAATTGAACCTGTCATTTCTTTATCGAATACAGCAAATGCATCTCGTATATGATCGATTTGTTCTTGTCCTATTTCTGTACTTATCGAACCTGATCGAGTCGTTGATATCGATGATCGACTAATAATCGAAGGTGTAAATGATTTATTATCATCGTCATCATCTTCATCATTATATTGTACATTAAGTATCATACGTGGTGTCTCAGATTGTGACATACAATAACTTATTCGCGCTTTTTTACATATTAATAAACATGAATAGGAATATAGTATTATTTGTTATATTTAAATTTTTTTTACAATCAGATCACGTTTTCTTTAATCTAGAACATATTGAACTCTATACAAGGGTTAAATTTATGTGCCAAAACATGTCTAATAGTTAATAAAAATATTATGTAGATTACATCGAGTTTACTAGAAGCTTAATTTCATTTATTAAAATATGAGCTTATAATATTAGGAAAATATTTGTCTGTGTATTAATCTAAGTCGAGGTACATCAAAGAATATCCAAAGGATTTGAATGTACCTGAAAATATACATAGAATATTATGAAATCACATGAAAAACATGACTTTTTAAATAATAATTTACATAGATATATTTTCAAAAAAAACAAAAGTTTAAAATCATTGTGATAAGTATTTTGTTTTCTTTGGAAGTTTTTATCGTATGATTATGACAGAAAATGAAACGGCTATTTTTATACTAGTAAATATTATTTTGTAAATTGACCATTTCTCTATCAACTCTTGATATTAAACATATGAACAAGATTTTTGCAAATATATTTCTCTTAATCATATATATTCGCATGGTACATGTATTAGGTACTTGTAAATATAGATTAGATCATGTTTCATCATCTATTCTTTATTAACAAAAGAAATATCGTTAAAAAAATAAAAATACGAAATAAAATCTTATTCAGACATATATTAAATACGATTTATGTCCAAAAAAAAATTAAGAACAACGTAATATCAATAATTACTTGTGTCTTAAAGTGACTAAACAATTTGATTTATGATTGTTGACTGTTGGAAATAATGAATATAAATATAAAGCAGTTATCTTAAATTATATTGTCCAACGTGTTGAATCGTAATATTCTACTGTTCTTATCTTATATACTTGCACTTTGTCATCATAAAAAAAATATCATGTTTGATCCACGCGAATTAAAGCAGTATAGTGCTCAATGTCTTGCTGAACTTTTTGGCACATTTCTTTCCATTCTAATTGGAAATCTATCTGTAGCTCAGTATAAATTTACTAAACCATCACCTGGAACTAATCTTGGAATTACTTTATCATTTGCAACGGGAGTATATGTGGCCCTTATGGTGGCTGGACCAATTTCAGGTAAGAAAAGAAAAAATACTATAAAGATTATTCAATTATTTATTCTATAGTTTAGTTATAATAATTTATTTTTTTGTTTCAAGTTGATTATAAATCTTTGTATTTATTCTAATAGAAAAAAAAAGACAAAAGAAATGATTCATTCTACTGATTGTAAATTTCTTTGTGTTCTTTTGTAAAGTATTTTATATTATGAAAAGATATATAGAATATTTCTAATAACATCTATATTAGAGTATCTCATTATTCACATACAGGAAATCTGTAAAATCAAATTGAAGAAAAAAAAAACGTTTCTTTTAGTACGAAACTATCGTCGGATATCTTTATCACGTTTTGTCTTATTCATATATATTGTTATCTTTATGCAATAAAGAACAAGGTCGTTTAATAACTTTGCATAATCATATTGTTTTCATAATAATATGTAGAGTAGGCAAAAAGATAGCTATTTCTCTTTGGCTGTCTATACAGATTAATAAGCTTTATGAATGATATAGAGCAATCATCAAATTTATATTATTATGCTATGTATATTTTTTAAGTGAATATATATATATGATATTAAATCATGAAGAAAAAACCTTCATTTTTATTTCTTCTAAGATAATACCTATTTTGCTATAAGCAGCATCATCGACACGATATAATTAATATTTCGAGGTATCATGTAGATTACTTCATAGATATATATATAGAGCTATTTAGTATGTTGTATGTCTTTACTTATATAGTTTGAAGGAATACTGCATATTATCATATAACTTAAAGGAAGAAATAATCAAGAGTTTCATAGATGCCTTATTACTATTCTTAATATACTTTGTATCTTTTTTTATAAGATTTATTACTGTTAGACAACCTTCAACAGTATGAATGATTTTACTATATGTTTTTTTTTAAAAGAATAAAAGTTACGGGTTATACAATTAAAAAATATCATTTATTTATCATCTCAAGAACTCTTGAAGAGAAATTTTTTGAAGTATGAAATTGGTTTTACTTCTATTTTGATGTAATTATAGGATAAATATAAGAATTGTATCTAAAAATAACTTAATACAATAATTTAATAAAATTCAATTATTTCATTATTGAATATCTTGAGAAAAATATTAATAATTTTATATAATTCATTTTTCTTAGGTGCACATATTAATCCAGCTGTGAGTCTTGGTTTACTTGCATTACGTAAATTGAAAGTTATTCAATGTGTATTTTATATTGTTGGTCAAATTGTTGGTGCTTTTCTTGCCAGTGCTATGGTTTATCTTGTCTATTTAAGTCATTTCAATCGATATGATGGAGGTATTCGACAACTTGAAGGTCCAAATTCAACAGCAGATATATTTTATACGGTACCAGGAGAAGGTATTCCAAATTGGAATTGTTTGATTGATGCTATAGTTGGTACTACTATTTTACTTATTTTTATAATGGCACTTGGAAATGATTATAATAATTTAATATCAAATGCAGCTAAACCATTTTCTTTTGTTCTTATGGTAACAACATTCGGCTTTTCTATGGGTCTCAATTGTGGAAATCCAATAAATCCTGTTCGTCAAAATTCTATATCAATTTTTCTTTGTATCTATATTTTTGTTTCTTATATAGGCACGTGATTTTGGTCCACGTCTATTTGCCGCTTTCATCTATGGTTCACGAGTATTTTCTGTAAATGATTATTACTTTTGGGTAGCAATTGTTGGTCCAATTATTGGAGCTCTTATTGGCGTTGGAATTTTTGAAGGTTATTTAGTTTTAATGAAAAAATATGCTAATCTACCAGGTATTATACACATTGATGCTGTCGAACAACCTAATCAAGGAAAATCTAATAAAAGATCCCACATGAATAAACAAGCATCTTTAGAAAGTAATAGATCATTTTTTTTATAAATTGCTTTGATTTCTGTAACATATTTTTTTATCATTTATAGGCACGGTATCAATGTAAAACATGGCACTTCTGTTATTCATTATTTATTGTGTGAAAGAATTTAATCATTTTGAAGATATATGGTGAAAAGACACCGGCTTTCTTTTTCTTGTATATAAATATATATGCGTATGAATAAATAGGAATTGAAATGTATACATTAATATAGACGAAGAAAGTGCTTAACTATAACTTTTGATAATATATACTTGGGAGTCATACACGGCCTTGTCTCGCACTGACGGTTGAAGGAAAAGAAGAAAAAAAACAAAAAAATAACGCGAATAGGAAAAGAAGGAAATAGTCTGACGTCCATTCTTGATTTTGTTCTTTGACTGTTAGTTCTTCGAATAGTAGTAGTAGTAGATTTTTGTTAGACGAACAAACAAAACAAAAATTAACACCATGGTGAAAGTTAAAGAATTGGAACAATATATGGCTCAAGGTTTAGCAGAATGTTTTGCTACATTTATGTTGATATTAATTGGTGAAGGAGCTATTGCTCAATATAAACTGTCACATCAAGCAAATCATTCAACAATCACTATTAATCTTTCATTTGGCATTGGTGTTTATACAGGTATTATTAATTTATTTGTATTCTATATTGAAGAGAAATATTTAGTTTATGATAAAATTTACAAAGTTTTAATATGAATATAAATAGAATTTTGCTTTATAGCAATCAAAAGTATGTTGTATAGATTATGAATCTATATTTGTTTATCGTTGTATAAAAATATTATTTTCTTTCCATTTGATACCAATGAGATTTCTAGGGGTCTGATAAGATTGACAGGAAATTATGTCAAAATTTTGTGTTAGTACTGTCTGTTAGATAGTGATTGATTGATCGAAATTATTCTTGTTATTTTATTGTTGCGCATTCTATCTTAAGTATATGTAAACAACAACGTGATCTACTACTTCATTCGACTCAGTAAACCTTCTCTCTCTACATTTTGATTATCATTTATAATTATATTATGATAAATCTAATTACATAGAATTATAATTTCTTTTTAATGATAAGAATCTTAATGATTTATAGAAACTATCTGTTTTAATACTTATTTTTTAACTGATCATTAACAGTATATTGTAATGAAGTTATTATTCATATGAAATTAACTTGTTTTCTCTTTAAATGCATACGTCATTTTTGAATAAGGAAACTAAGTCTATAATTAAAATAATCTAATCCTTATTCAACGATATCAAGTTATAGAATTTAATAAGAAAATACTTTCTATACTATTATCTAATTTCTTTTTTTAGCATTGATGATTGCTGGACCAATTAGTGGTAAAAATAAATACAAATTGATTTCAAAAGGATTAGTTTGTTTTATTTAGGTGCGCATTTAAATCCTGCTGTCAGTATTTCCTTATTAACAGTTCGTAAATTGAAACCAGTTCAATGTGTTATTTATATCATTAGTCAATTAATAGGAGCATTTTTTGGTGCTCTTGTTGTTTATTATCTTTATTTTGGTTTATTTAATAAATTTGATGGTGGTGAAAGAGAAATGTTAGGTACAAACGGTACAGCTGATATTTTCTTTACAATGCCAGCAGACGGTGTAGAACATTGGAATTCATTTTTTGATCAAGTTGTTGGTACTGCTGTTTTAATGATTTTTATTATGGCTTTAATAAGTGTAATATACATATGATCGTTTTATTTATTTGTATTTTTTCGTTATTTGGTTTTTTAGAATTCTAATTTTATGATATCGGAAGTCGCTAAACCATTTGCATTTGTTCTTATTATTGTTGGTATTACTTCAGCATTTGCAGGTAATGCTGGTGCGGCAATTAATCCTGTATGTAGAGAATATTATATATATATAATTTTTATTATGTTCTATATTACAGGCTCGTGATTTTGGTCCTCGTTTATTTGCTGCTTTTATTTATGGTTGGGAAAATGTATTTTCAGTAAATAGATGTTTCTTTTGGATTCCAATTATTGGTCCAATTGTTGGAGCTATTATTGGTGTTTGGCTATATGTAGGTTATGAAGCATTTATAAAACGTTATGGACATTTCTCTACGATTGCAAAGACTGGCTCCATTGAAATTCATCCAAAGATAAAATCGATCGATGATGATGATCATCAAGCAATGATTTCACATGAACTTACAACTATTCGTAGTTAAACATAATGAATATTACATACGGTTTTTCTTTTTTATTTGTTTACTGTTTAGTTTTTAGTAATTTTAAATTAGTTTATATAAGAGTTAAGTTTTCTTTATGGTGTCTTAATACACAATAAAATAAAAATTTTCAGCAAATATTTATATTATACGTGCATTCATTTTCTTAATCTATTTGCATTTGTTATGTTTTTTTTTCTAATATTCATTTATATTCTAAATAAATATATTAAGAAGAAAATTTTATTTGAAATATTTTCTTATTAATCAATTTGCTGCTTATATATATGAGTATCATTGTCACTAGATATGATAAAAAGAAGAAAAAGAAATATGCGAATTACAATAAAAAAATAAATGAATTTAAACAGTAATTGTATTTGATGTATGATTAAATTCAAGTGGTGCACGTAGACTTGATCTACGTGATGAACGAATATCTTCACTTGTTGACATTGTAGATTTATTTGTTGTGATACCGGTATTTGCAGCATAGGGTGGTTGAACAATAGTTAATAAATTTTGGAAATTTTCTTGTGTTATTTCATTTGTATGTGATTTATTTGAATGACGATTTGATACATGAGCATAATTTGCTGTACTTGCTCCAAGTGGCTTTTTCGAATTATAATGAATAACATAAGAACGTTTTAATTGTTTATTTGATTCATTATCACTTATAGATCGTTTATCTACTGTTAATAAAGGACCATTGGTATGTAGATCATCATTATTATTATTATTATTATGTATACGTGTAGTTGTGATTTTAAGTGAAGTTGATCGTTGTGCATTTGGTAATGATTTACTCATTTGTTGATGATTATAATTCGTATTTGTTGTTGTTGTTGCTGATGATGAATTATCGGTTGATTTTAATTTAGTTGGCGAAACAAATTGTTGTCGAAGTGAAATTGAACGAAGTAATGAACGTTGTCGTTGTGTTGATGAAGATAATGGTGAATTTCCAATATGTAATTGTCCATTATCACTATCACTTATATCAGATTTATGACTATCAGTAGAAGAATCTTGAATGGATGAATAACGAGCATTACTATTATGTGTTGTTTCAGAAGAAATTTCAAATGCTAAATTATTCGGTGCATCATGAGTTGATTTTAATAAACGATTTATAGGTTTTTCACGTTGTAAAGTATATTTTTCATGTGATGATATTTCATTTGGTATTGATTGACTAAGTATATCAGGTAAATTTGTTATATGAGATTGTTGTGTACGTGGTGTCGCATTTGATTGTTGTTTTTTCGTAGATGAATCTTGTCCAATTTGTTGATATGTTTGACGAGATGTTGGACCAGTAAGATTTTGACGTGTTTGTGCTCGTTGAATTGATGGTGTCGTATGAGTAATCGGATTTGTATTTAAGGATTTTTTTGATGGTAAACGAATTCGAGATTGTCGAGGTTCATCATTAATAGGTATTTGATGTTGTTGAGATATTTCATCATTATCTTCAATAAATTGAATTTTATTATAATCAGAAAAATAAACTCGTGGACGACGAATTTCATTTTGTTGTTCATTTGTATGAGATAATGGAAGACCATCATCACTATGATCAAGTGTAACAATAGGAAGTTGATCATCTTGAAGAGTTTGTATTGATATAGCTGATGGTGCTGGACTTGTGAATGCTGATGTTTGAGATGTTTGACGTGATAAAGCAGTTCCTCTAATATACATACAAATAATTATTTTTTATATTAAAATAGAATAACCAATTTTTCCTTACTTAATTAAACCTGATAATGATTTAACTTTTTTGATTTGTCTATCTTTAAAAAGTTTTTTTGGCCCATCAAGATTTTCTAATATTTTCTGCTGTTTACTTGTATTATTATGATTAAATGGTCCATCAATCACTGATAAACTATAAGAATGATTTGTTGTTGGTGATATCAATGGTGGTGGTGGAGATTGTGCTGGACTTTGTAAATGTTTTGTTTGATAATCATATGAACGAACTGATGATTGATATTGATGTATATCTGTTGGTAAACTAACACCATCAACATGTAGCCAAAGAGGTGGTGGCATAGTTAAATGTGATTGTTTAGCAAACATTTTTAGTTGATGTTAGCAATCGAGAAAAAGACAATTCAATATAACAAATGTTTGTATATATGTATTTGAAGACTTTTTTTTTTTCGTTAACTTTTTTTCTCTCTCTTCTTTATGTTTGTTTTTCAATGACAAAAAACAATAGAGAGCGTTTGCGTTGCTGATGGTGAAAACTTACAATGCGATAAGTATGTAAAAAAATGTATTTGAGCGCTTAAAAATGAATTAATACCAAACACAACGAAATGTAACCAAAAAAGAAACGAATGAGAATGACATAGACAGAAACATACACTTCAAGTTCAGTATTTCGTCATTAATATATTACTTCTTTTTTCTTTTTCATTCTTATTTTTTGTTTGATGACAATAGTATATTTATATATGAATCTTTTTCCAGCTTCAACGTTTTATTTGTCTAAGAACAAATTTCAAAGTGTTAGTGTAGTGATTATATTACATTTATTTATATATTTATGACTGGCTTCTTTTTTTTATTTATGAGCATATAATATCTATTACATATCATAAGAGATAATTATATTTTAATCTAAAAATTTTCTTTTAGTTGAATCAGTTCATAGTAAATGTCTAAATGGTAATGGATGTTTTACCATTAAATTCCTTCAGGCAAGGCCAAAATAAACGTAGAAATGAAAAAACAAAATACGTTCGATTTTGTTTCTTTTGTTTCTAGTTAAAAATTTTTATTCTTGTTCTCTTTCATCTGAATTTGCAAACCACCTGTTGTGGTGAAATAAACAAATCAATTGAAAATATTACTTGATCAAAATAGTTTGTTATTTTTTATGTTATCGTAAAAGATAAAGATTTTTTTCTTTTCATTCAAAATATGTATAAATCGAAACATATTTCAATACAATTCAAAAACAAAATAATTGCTAAAGACAATGAAAAGTTTTTTTCATAATAAATATGTATTGTCTATACTTTCGAAGTGTTTGTCGTTAAATCTCAAAAAAAAAAGAATACCTGCAGTGCATTCATTAATGGAAACTACGTCAATAACGTAATGTCAGGTTAAATAATACCGTTGGACAGCATCTTTCTTTGAAATATATTACACAAATGTACGCAATATAATACGTACATATTTATATAGATATATTATAGGCAAACAATAAAAAATTTTGTTATTTATTCAAAATTGAAATTATTATTATTATTATGATTATTTTATATAATTATGAAATTTTTTCTTTGGGTATTTTTCTATAATAAAATAAACAAAATATATCTGTCTGATGCAAGGGATTGTTCACTAAAGTCATTTGAAGACAATTAACGACCATGTAAACGACAATAGGGTCGATCGTTTTTGACAACAAATGGTTGACCATTCAAATTCACTTGACACATCTGAAAATATACAAAAAGAAATATTTTCATATAATTAATTAAATAAGTTATGTAGACATACGGAACAATTGAAACATTCAACATGATATGTGCCACCCATAGCTTCAAGATATTTATCACCAGGTTCAATAGGAAAATCGCAACTCGTACATTTTGCTTGAAACATTCGACGATAATCTAGATACTCTTTTTATATAAACATACTATTCAAATCAATTATAATATTACCTTCAATACAATATGGTTCACCTTCTTCAACATGAAATGATCCAGTACCAATCGATTTTTTACATGCTGTACATGTAAAACATTCTGGATGCCAAGTTTTCTCAAGGGCATGAACACATTCCTATTATTAATTATTATCATATCAAATCTTATAAATTCATTATAATAATCAGTACCTTTAAGATTGCTTGTGAACATTTTGCACAATGTGGTGCAAGAAATTGTTCAAAATCCTGTTCACAATATAATTTTCCATTCTCTTCAACAAAACCACATTCAATTAAATTAGCTGAACAATTTGAACATGTAAAATGATTCACACAATAACAATGACCAATAGCCGAAATATATGGACCTCTAATTGTTTTTCATAATTAATATTAATAAATATTGAATATCGAAACAATTATTTAGAAATATACCTTATATTTATACCACATGTATGACATGTAGCTGTTGCAGTAGCATTTGTATTTTGATTCAAAGCAGCTGTACCTTTATTACCTCTTATAAAGACACGATTTCCTGAACGTGGTGTTCCTTGTACATTAACATTGAATGAAGGTTTAACATTAGCTCCATTTGGTTTTGGTTTTATAGGTGGAGGTTGTGGTGTTGGTAGAGGTGTTGTATATGGAGCTGGTCGTGGTTGTTGTTGTCCGTAATCATAAGGTGCTGATGCAGGTGCTGGTTTTGGCATAGATCGAGTCGCTGTTGCTTGAAATTCATTATAACTGTATATAAATATAAATATAATATCATTAAAAAGATGCACATTTACATACTTTTTTGGTTCTTCAATTTTATATTCAGGTGACACATTCATACTAGAAAAATATGTATATATATTCATAAATAAGAATATGTAATATTTAATGAAATATGAAAGTGAAGCATAAGCATACAGACAGTTAACATTCACATGCCTGATTATCATATCTGTATGTGTTTTCATAAACAAAACGAAAACCAATAAAATGAAATCTTTCCTTTGCTTTTTAATATCTCTTTTAAACTCTCTTTTATTTTCTGAAGTAAAATTTGAAGAAAAAAATATTTATTATCTATGAATTATACATTAAAAAGTTAATACTTACTGATTAGATGTATATCGAAAACCTTTAATTGTTGTTGTATCAATCTGTTGTTGTTGTTGTTGTTGTGGTGGTGGTGGTTGATTTAAACTATTAATAAAAGAGTATGTAACAGTTTTTTTTTCGTATCTTAATGTTTATATGTTACTTTGATCTTGAAGATGATTGATCAATTGGATCTTTGGATGATTATCATAAGAAATGATAATAATAATAATAATAATAAAATATAGCAAATGCTTACCACCTGTTTCATCAAGACCTCGAACAAGTGCTCGAAAAGCAGGTCCTTGTCGTGAATCACTCTTATTAGTTATTTGTAAATCCATACTTAAGTATTTTTGTTGAAGACCTTCGACATCACTAGATGTGAGTAGGTTTGATGTTTTTTGATTATCATGATTATTGTTATGAAGTAAAGGAGAAGGAGAACTACACCCACATGCAAACTAATGTTTATGCGGAATTTCCATGCATCTAGCAAAATTTTCTAAGCATTACCTTTTAAGTGTACGCGTGATTGTATCAGTTACATTTTCAGCTGAATAAAGACCAATTGGTGTATTATGAGCTTGACTTAATATAGCTCGATTGTTTGATATTGGCATAGCAACCTATTGTTATTTATATATATATATATTAAACAAAATACTATAAAATATCATTTAGTAGCTAGATTAATAAGCTGACATGATTGATTTACATGTCTTATATCATAAAAGACATAGTTTTATGATTGTTTTTGTTTATAGCACATTAGCGAGACATTCTATATAACCTATGAATGACATGGCTTGTACACAACATAAAAATTCTCTTTTAATTTTGTTAAAGATAAAAAAATGATGTATAAGCATTAAACTAGATATCATACATCACGTTTTCTTTATCATCTGCTATTTTCTATCCATTGTATGATACGTGTTCTACTTAGTTATACTATCAGTTTATATAAACAGAAGGTCATTGGGGATTTTATTTTTGATACAATATGTAAATTTCAATATTCGATAGATATGAAACTCTTTGTCAATCAACAAGTCGAATTTATAGATAATATAGAAGAGTATATTAACACTATTCCTGTTATTATGATAATTACCTGAGGTGTAGGAGATTGGATTCGTGGTTGAGATGAAAAATTGTTTTGTGTAGGTTGCATCAATTGATGTGGTGGGAAATCAACACGCGTATTATAATCATTAGTATCAGGCGGTGCACCTCTATATATAATATTATCATAAAATATTAAAATCATATTTTTTTTAATCTAAACTAACCGTTGTAATGTTAATTCAAGTACATTATTTTGATTTTTTATTAATTCTTGAGCATCTGGATGTTTAAGATGTTCTGTTGATGTTTGACCTATTTTAACAATATAATCATTAGCTTCCATTCCACAACGTTCAGCTAAACTATTCGCATTTATTTTTTGAATTTGTAATGAACAACCAAAATCTTTTCCACCTATATTTAGTATACGTGTTGAAAATTTTAATGATTTTCTATTTCAAAGAAAATCCCTACCTTGCATTCGAAAACCCCAAGGTGTAGCATTTGAATCTCGTTGCATCTTAACATTGAGCATTGTATATGAAGGCATTTCAATTACTTAATATGTATGTTCAAATTAATACTAAATTATAATATAGTAAATTATAACGATTAGTCTTTGAATATATATAGATAGATAGATATGTATAGATAACATAAGAGAAAAAAATGAAGATCAAATATAACCTTAACCTTGAGTGATGAAATATGAAGTAACTCAAAAAAAAAAGAATAGAAAAAAAACACACAATTCATGGTCGTATAAATGCGCATAATACTGTCCGATCAAGTTCATAGATAAAATGATTTTAGAAGCATACATACAAATTGATACAAGGTTCATACATGATTCGTCAAAAGAAAAGATAACCCTACGAAAACCTTTAACTTTAAAGTCCTTAATCGTTCTATATTATCAAACTGATAATATACTTATCTTTTATTTAAGAGAAAAAAAAGCCTAAATAAAATCATATCTTATTATTAACGAATTTTTCTTACCAAAATAATTGACGAAAGTATTGCTATTGAATAATAGAAAGAAAAATAGATTTTGAGTTTAATATTTAATTTTCAACTGTAACGATAATAATCAACGAAAAAAAAAACCATAAAATTTTACTGATTCCTTTCTATTCTGACACATGTGCCTGTTTGATTGACACGCAATTGCCCTCTTCTTAACATGATTCAATAGTTATTTCAAGTATATACCTTATGTTCAGATTGACTTTCGATTTTTTTTTTTGTTATTCTATAGAGCAAGTAGATCAGTTTCGACCTTGGTGTATATCCAAACTGTTCTGTACGATGATGACTTATAAATGCTTGCTGTGGACCAGTTTCCTCCTACTCCTATACTCTGCGACATAGAGAAACAAGAATCCTTCTTTTCTCTGTCGTCGCCAACGTCGTCGTCGTTGTTGTTGTTATTCTCCTTTTTTTTTTATTACGAACAACATGCATGATGCCATGCTTATACACTACCCATACTTTATTTTGTGCTTCTCACATACGAGTATTACCTACTATTGATTAGAAAGAGCGCAACACACACGTATACACTATTATCGTCACTTTTTCTCTGCATTTTTTCTTGATCTGGATTATTGCGGCAATTTCTCTTTTTGTTGTTTATATATGCACGTACAAATTGATATTTCTGTTAGCAATAGAAAAGTAAATAGGCTTGACATAAGCATAATATTATTTATGTTATTAAAAAAGTAAAAAGGATTGAATTTTTTTATTCAAAACGAATTTTTATTTTATTTATATCTAAATAGTTAAAAATCTATTATCGTTTTTATTTCGATTCATTCGTTGCTGAGACATTTTCTGTTGGAACTGTTTTTTTTTCTTTTTTATCTGATTCTTCATCATCTTCTTCTTCTGGTTTTTCACCTTGATTATAAACTTCAGCAAGTGTCATTGGTTCAAGAATATTTTCAGTACCAAATCCTAATTTATCGGAAAGGATTTTTGAACTTTCTAAGTCTAATTTGTTGAATTCATAATTTGCAATCAAACGTCCTTTACGTAATAAAGCTGGATCAATTGTTGTTAGATCACAGTTAAATGTTGCAATAATTTGTTGATGCATAGCATCACCTAATAAACCATCCGATCTAAAAGAAAAAGTTTAGTTTTGAAGAAATGGAAAAAAAATAAAATAACTTACAAATTCAAAAGATTAGCAACAGCTTGTGATGGTAGTATAGATTCATTTCGATCTTTAATGATATTTTCTGCATCTTCAATAATAAGAATTGAATTCTGATATTGCATAAGAAATGGAAGAAATTCTGGTGAAGAAATTTCTTTTGCCATATCTGGTGGTACATAAATTAATGTTTTTTCTTCGATTTCATGAATTAAATATCGAATATAATGGGTTTTTCCTGTTAGAAAAAAAAGAAAATCATTTAATATTAAATATTTTCTTTTATAATCATTTATTTACCTGAACCGGGAATACCATGTAAAAGAACAATTCCTTTGCTTTCTTTTTTATTTAAATTTTTAATAATTTTACTATGTGTTGAGACAAAATTTTTACCATAATGAAGTGCAAGATCAGTAATTAATGGTTTTTTAATATCAATACTATTAAGATAATAACCATGTTGATTACGGCAAACCATTTGTAAAGTACATGATTTTGATGAGAATACGGTCATTTTAGAAAAACGTTGTGCTAATTCTTGTACATATGTATCATGTTCAGGTAAATAATAAATAATTACTTGTGATGGTATTAAGAAATAATCTTCTGAATTATCAGGTTTTAATTTATTTGGATTTTGAACATCAGTTATAAAATATGAATCACTTAGTTCGATCATCATACCATTTCCTAGATCAGCAAAGCGTGAATCAATATACATTTGTTTTGTTTGACGATGATAATTTCGAGATATACGATCAGTTGCTAAATCATGTTTTAATTCATCACGAATATAATCAACAATAGTTGTTGCATGCAATAAAGCACTAGTATCATCACCAGAACAATAGATTGTACATGGAAATGCATTGTATTTAAGAAGAAAAAGTCGAATTGATGGTACATTTCCACAATTATTTGGTGGACCTAATGACATAAGAGCTTCGGCTTGTAAATTTGGTACAGCACCTACATATGCTGATTTTGTTGTTTTTTCATCAGTTGTTGGTTCTACTTTTCCAGGCATGATAATTGAGAACTCGTATGAAAAATTTCAATAAGTAATGTAGGGAATATGAAGAAAACAATGCCCTTTTATAGTCGAGAAGATTAGTTACGACTATTTCGAAATAATTGTGAAAGTACGACGTAAAAAATAGAAGGAGAATAAGAAAAATATCACGTGTCTCGATAGAGGCTGATTCATTGAGAAACCATAGTTATTCATTTATTGACTTTCTTTGTGTTGCGCAAGTTGTATGAGTCATACGTTATATCATATATTTCTGTATAATAAAATTTAGTAATAATGATCGTTGATAATCTTAACCAAATGTTTGCTACGTTGCAATGACAATAATTTTTTTTTCTTTCATTCATGACTAATTGATAAGTTAAGAGTAAAGATAAAAACTTTTCTTTTTTTTTTAATAATTTTATAGGCATAATACAACATATTTATTGATACGATATTTTTATGATCTGTGCTAGCACATAAACCGTATTGTGAACTCATTTACCCTTTCCTTTTGCACTTATACCCATCAGTTCTATTCTTTCCTTACGTCATCTTCTACTAGTTATATATATTTATCTAATGGTAGTGAACTACGACTTCTAAATAAAGAGCGTCGTTCGGGATTTTAAAAAATTCTTTTGCTTTCTTTAATATTTGATGTTAAATATGATGATGACGATACAGATTTAAATACATTCAATTTTATTTGAGTAAAATATTTTTTACACAAGCTAAATGTATTATTCAACGAATCTTGTCGTTGAGCTATACAAGTAGATATTCGATAAAGTACACGCCAGTGACGACCATCTCATAAACGACGATAACCTTTACGTGTAAAAACAATATCACCTTTCATTGGTGATATTATCTGTGACAAACATTTTGTTAACATTTAATCGTGTTAGTGAGATTCATACTAAACGTCAGTTGGCACGTTTTTTATCGATTACATGAGAAAGAGACAGCAATTGATACAACTATGTATGAGTCATTGCAGACTATTATTTGAAATAACTAATACTAATGTAATGAATTACAGTTCATTATCGCATTTGTAACATATAATTCATGATAATCATTTATACAAATTTAAAGGTTTTCTTGGAAATAATTGCTTATTACGTATTTTGTCGCAGTTTTTTGAAAATAATCGGAAACAGTGTATTATTTTTGCATTTTTATTTATTGTCGGCTACATCCAGAAGTATTTCCTTTTCACCATATGGTGTTATACATTTATTATCACTAAACGCCAAGTCATATTTCATTTTCTTAAATCCCGATGAACTGACATGCAGAGTATTTCATCAAAAATCACAATGGAAAAGTGAATATTCAGGGAAATTAAACATTTATAGTTCTATAAAATTTATACACACAGTTCTAAAATGTAATAAAGATTATAGATCAAATATCAAAGCAGCCCTTGGAAGATCAGACTGAATCTATACTTGTCTCCACAGAATCTTGAAGTGTTGAATAATGTAAGGTGTTTAATTCAAAAATGAATAACAGTCATATACAGATAAACCTGAAAAATCTCCAAAGAAATTTTCAAAAACCATCATAAAGCGAGAATACATGTTTTATCGCCATATTTTGTCTATGTGATGTCATCTTCATTTTTTTGGCTAGCATGTTTGGTTTACTTCACATGATCCTTTCAAGGTAGTTTTCCTTTTCCTTGAAAACAATATCAAGATTAAATATTAGCAATTAGAAAAAAATTTACACAAATGAAATTATCTGAAGTCAAGAAATTCACTATTAAAATTAATTGATTTTCTCGTTTAAAAATCGATGGGCTAAACGGAGCATACCACGAAAATCAGCTCGTCGAGCTCTACAAAATGTTATATATCTTATTCAAAACTAGGACTCATATTAGGGGGAGGGGCTTTCTTTCGTTAGATTTTAACAATAATTCTCCTCGAATATTATGATGACACATTTGAGTATGATAGCTATCAATGATATCATATAAAATCAACTCATCGCTTAGACATATTTTTCAACCTTTTTAGATTCAAAAAAGTCTCAAAATTCAGGCAATAATTAAAGCAGTCAATTCGCTACGTATTATTTACTTCGAAAGGATGAAATCCTTTATGGAATATTTCAACAACTACCTCAGATATATTAGCGTAGAAAGATTGGTAGGACGTATTTTCTAATAAACAGATATAGTGCAGTTTCGGAAACTTTCAGACCAACTTATATAGTTTAATCGGTATAAACTTCATCTAAGAACAGGTTATCTTCTTTTTATAAAAGGGTGTGGGCGTGGGCGTGGAATATAAAGAACGCTAACAGTCACCCACACCCTGGTGAAGAAGATAGAAATTAGATAATAATTATAATTTTAAATGAAAAAACTATATGACATTACATCAGCTGATCGATTATTATCATTTATGTCAATACTATCTATTCTTTTAATGAAAATATTTTTATATTTACTAGGCGATAGAATATATTTACTCCATGATTATAATAAATAAATCTTGAGGGTGTGTGGGGGGGGGGGGGGGGTATTCACTTGTTTTCGTATGTACACCTACACCACATTCACACCCCAGAACACATTGAAACTAAAGTGATATTAGCATTATTAATAAATTTCAAAAAGATTCTTGTAACCTACTATTAAAACCTTCATTTGACTGCATAAAAAATTAAGGTAAATAATTCTAAGGTATTTATATGCCTGAACTATGAATACCGTAAAATTGAATATCTCTCTAAGGATGCGCCAACAGCAGTTAATATTTTAACCTTCTTGGTTTACTGACAGGAGCTTTTGTTTTGGTGTAAAAACATCTAGTCTTTTTAACTTACAACACAGACACGTCCATTGTTAGATGCGATAAAATCAATCATTGATAATAAACCTTATTTCCCAATTTTAACAGATAATATTGAATTGTTTTATAAAAAATAAACTTCGATGCATTTTTATCTTCTGATGATAGAAAAGAGTAAAGCTTACCGTCATCTACATTGAAATCGTTCTGAAAACTGGAGTATAATCACAATAATTTTATTATTTTGCTCCCATGGATCATTAGAAAAATTATTTTGAATTTCTCATTACATTATTTTCAAGTTAAAATACGCTATGCGAACTATTTTGATGAAAAATTCAATATGTTATCAAATTCCGATACATATACTTGGAACAAAAACTAGTTTCATTGGCTGTGTCAAATATATATTGATAAACCTTAAACATATTTTCTTCGACATGCCTCACAATTGAAAAGACATTGTTTAACGTAACTAAGCAATAACAGCTATGTTGGAAATATTTTTCTTCCATTTTTAATTCTTTTTCTTGTGAAAAGAAGGTAGTTTGAATCATAAAAACAATACTATCAACATCTGTGTCCCTTTTCTAAATAGAAACTAAGTAGAATGATTAATTTCTTACTATGGTAAGACTCATTTCTACTTCTTTCTTGGTTTTTTCCACCTCATGCAAAAAATTTTATATATATAAATACAAGTAGAGTAAACTGAGACGAAAAATATTTACTTTTGAAAGTGCTCGAAAAGAAAAGCAATGGGCTGTGGAGTTTCGAAATCTCATTTTCATAAAGTTATTTCACCCAAAAAGGCTTCAGACTGCTCAGCACGTAATGCAGTTCATAATCAAACAGACCACTCCGAATCAACTGCTCTTATCAACAATTTACAAAATACCATAGATCAATCTGTTTTTACTGTTTCGAATGATCCACTGTCAGTTTCTGCGCAAGCATCTCCCAATGAAACAACAACTAATCATCTTTCACCACGAATTAATTCTGCTACTTCGAATAATCATTCAGTATTGGCTGACAGTAGTGAAAAATACTTGATTTTTCTAATGATTAATATTCTTTTTTTTTAAATTAGATGGTCGATATCAGCAACAGATCGATTCGGCAACATCTAACAGAAACACATTATCTTTTTTTAATGAGAATAATCAAAGTGATATAACAAATATGTTGGAAATTGAAACATTAATCAATGTACTTCCCGCAGTCGATAGTGATTATGTTGAAATTATTAATGCTGATCCTGAAGGTTTTAATGACTTATTCTTAAAACAACGTCAAGATGCTATCGATAATTCTTCGTATCGAAGAACTATTGAATCCTGGCATCCAGAATCTCTTCACCAATTAGTTGAATTTATTCGAGATATATCAAAAGACAAACTATTACTTGATCGTCATTGGATGATTTTTTATTGGATTGCTTGTAATATCGAATATGACGCTGTTTCCTTCCTGAATAATAATATTCAAGATCAATCAGCAGAATCAGTTTTTCGTACAAGAAAGGGTGTATGTGCTGGATTTAGTCGTTTATATAAATCTTTATGTGATCAATTAGCTTTGAAATGTGAAGAAATAAGTGGATATGCAAAAGGTTATGGATTTGCTGTTCGTGAAGAAACTGCATTTTTAAAGACGGATCATGCATGGAATGTGGTTGAAATTGGAAGATATTGGTATCCATTGGATGCTACATGGGGTACTGGACATTTAAATGAGCAAGATATTTTTAATCGAGAATTAGATACTTTCTATTTTCTCACTCGTCCTGATCAACTTATCTATAGTCATTTGCCTGAAAATGATAAATGGCAACTTTTACGGCAACCGATCAAAATGACACAATATACGCAAATGCCAACAGTTCATCCAGCTTATTTTATATTTAATTTAGAAATAGTTAGTCCACGCCATCAAGCTCATGCTACACTTGTTCATGGTAAATCGCACGCATTAATACTTATACGAGCTCCATCTGATATCGATGTTTCAACCACCTTTGAGTTATATGAAAACGAAGTCGATGGTGGTTCTCGTATTATATTCGATAAAAGTAAGCAATTATATTGTTGTTACTTTTCTCCAGCTAGTATTGGTAGACATAAAATAGATATTTTTGCGAAAAGAATCGAACTAGATACGAAGTCAGGCAAACAGGCACTCAGTTTTACATTAAATATTGTTGAACTACCTTTAAATCGTGTGAGTTATCCAACAACATCGAAAGAGTTTTATGATTTAAATATAAAGATTATTTCGCCACTCAACACTCATTTAATCAAAGTATGTGATGGAGCTACTTACGGATCCATTATTATTCGAGCACCTAGTGATGTTGAATTAAGTGGTGGTCTCGATAACAGCAGCGGGGAAAGAGTTATGAATGGATGCCAAGTTTATTATGACCAACGAAAAAGTTTATGGAAATGCAAATTCGCACCTAATCGAAATGGTTTATATAAGGCATACATTTTTGGAAAGAAGAAAGCGAATACTGGTAATTATTCGCATTTAGTATCATTCAAAACTGAAGCATCACAAATTCCAGCTACGCCATTATCCTTCCCGAAAACTTGGCAAGTATTTCATGATCTTAATTTAGAGATAGAAGTACCAAAGAATTGTTCAACAGTAATTTGGCCAACGGATGCTTCATATGTGGAAAGTTTCATCCAAACACCTGATGATGTCCAGCTTTCATGTGCAATTCATTATAATGATGTTGTAGTGGAAAATGGAGCATTAGCTGAATTTGATAGTGACAAGAGATTATGGCAATTACTATTTGCACCTCAATGTATTGGTCAACATGAACTAATAGTTTTCGCAAACCGTTATAGTGAATCAAACTCAAAATGTGCTCTCAAATTTGATCTTAATATCACACAACTCAAACAACCAATAAAGTTTCCTACGATATATCCAAGTTTTCAAGTTATCAAAGGCCGAATTTATGAACCTATAAATGGACTTATTAAGAAGGATACAACAATATCAATTCATTGTTTTATTCCAGGTGCCAAAGATGTTAATTTGACAATTGATTCGAAATGGGCAAACGGAGGAGGATACGAGGATCCCTTTTACAAAAGAACGGTAACTGTTGGTTCCAAAGAAGTAACTATCTATGCTAAATACGGAGAAGACTTTAGCTATCAAGCGCTTATTAAATATAACGTTCAATAAAACTAAGTTTTTATCTTGTTTTTATATACTATATCTTAAAAGATGTGTTTGTAAATAGCTAATCTATTATAAACCCGATTGCAGTTCCCTGCTCTCCCTTCACATCCCATGTCTTCAAAATCGCCAAGGTTTAGGCGGTGAATCACGATTTTTCAAAATATTGGCGATTATATCGCCAGTAAGAAATGCTTATTTTGTCAAAATCATTACGAATCCCGAGTTTTCGACAAAAAAATCGGCAAAAACCCTTAGTTTTGGCGATTTTATCGCGATAGATCTCACAATTAATCGGCTTCTACATCGCGATAAAATCGTCAATTTTTTCGGGATTTTTGGTGACATAGACAGTACAGTATAAAATGATGTTGAATTATCTAGTTCATTAAAATTCTGTCATTTATGATGACTATATTTTCACCCAAAAATAATCGTCACGTCGCACGATTTTATCGCAATTTTCCGAAAAATAATCGTCTATTAAATCGCGATTAGATCGTTGATTTTTTCCCGATTTTGATGGCATGGGATACCACTCATCCTCATGTAACGAATTTAAGAACATTAAATACGATCTTGATGGTAGAGTGGGTGAGGATGTTAAAGTATGGTTATTCTCTTCACCCTTAGTCGCACTGTCACTTACATCCACACCTTCTCTCAAAATGAGTTGGTTTCTGCCCAAGTGTTCCAACGAAGATACTCGGTATCTGCATTAAAGACAATCGGAATGTTGCATGACCAGTATTTATTCAGATCATATCTATGTTATTCCCAGGGTGTGAGTGTGGGTGTTTTTCTAATGCTAATACGCACACCCACCCTCAACATCACCCGCACCCTACTACGAGGAAGAGTAAGTATGTTTTTTATTTAATTTATTTCTTACTTTAGATTATTGTGTAAGCGCTAACGAATAGTCAATATAGTTATTTTTTTAATTTATTTTTATCCACTTTTATTTTAGATTACATTTTTAAATAGAAGTACTCGATAATAAGAGACGAATAACGAATAGAGACGATAGATCTGGACCATACGATGTTTGGTCAAACATGACTTTGTACGAAAAGATGTGATCGTTTACAGCTATATACGACGTCGTACACGTCAAAACGTATGCTATATACGGTCCGTATGCGGCTGCCTTTTTTCATCGTAATTCTCCGTATACAATTACGGAGATATATGGTCGTAATGGTCGGTCTAGGTATATTGAACAGCATAATATCTCAAAATTTAATACACACACAAAGATAGGAAGTGAATTATTATCGTTACTTTATGATGATATTACAAAGTCTCATGAACTACTGTAAGTCATTGTTTATAAAAATGATTTTCATATTTTTGTCTCTTTCCATTTAGTTATCCAACTAATGATGGATATCTAACAATGATTAAATGTATCGTAAACAAACTTCGTATTCCTTCATCATCATTACATTATTAAATTGTAAGAAAAAAACTGGTCGGTACATAAAATATTCCCCAGATCGATGATTCCTAAAGCAGTAGTCCATGAATTTCCGGCGAACACCCCCCGGAAGCTCACATTTTTCGACAGGAACCCTGCCGGAAAATTCCACGAACTCGACCATGGACTCGGTTCCGAGTGAAACTGACCAAATCTGTTCAATGAGAATACTGCTTCCATGAAATCTTCGAAATATTACGGAACCGGCCGTTTCTGGGCCGAATTGTTAGACCTGGGATATGAAAAAATTGATTAAAGTAAATTTGTTTCATTTGTTCTTTTTTTGTAAATCTAATTAGAAACTTTTTTTCAAGAATTTAGTTGAAAAATTGAATACCAAATTATATGATTCACATCAACTAATACGATTAACGTCAATTAACTCGTCGACATCTCCGTCAGATTCTTTTATGTTTTTTGATCTTGGTAGTACTAATACTATAATTTTATCGGAAAAATTAACAATACCATTTATCACAGGATCATGTGTTTCTATGCGTTCAGAATACTCGATCCGTATTTTGAAACCAATACAAGCAAGAGAAAAATCTATCGATTTGTATATGAAAGATCTTCATACAAAATTTGCTGAATTAATATTGGAATATTTTGAACATAATCGACAGCTTCCAAATAAACTCGTGTTTTATAAAATTGATGTTGGAAATCGATTAGATAGTGGATTGAACATTATTAAACAATGTTGCACACGTAAATATAATTGTTCAACAATAACACTAAATAAACAATTGTTGTTGTTTTTTTTCTACAGATATATACGGAATCAATAAAATTCCACGAATTTCATTTATTGAAATAAAAAAAAACATGGCTCACGTTTTTTTACCTGGAATAAATCACTTCAACAAGCTGCCAACATACCCCAAGGTTAAATATCTTTTTTTGATATTCTTATTCTACGAATATTTGGTTATTTATTTTAGGTACAGTTATTGATTCTGATATCGTTGCACCAAATGATTTTTGTTTTTACATAAATTCCGATGCAAATGTTCAAGGTCTATCAAAAATAATATTATACTACGTTTTAATTAATGAAATTGCTTTTATATTAAATGAAGTTCAATTGTTAATATAAGAATTTTAGATGAAAATGAAAAAATAGAATTTATTATTATTTTTGTTTTAAAACTTAAATTCTATCTGTGTCATATTGATCTTTTACTCAGCAAGAAAATTGAATTACCACTCCCTGTTTATTATCTAATAAATAATGTTGTTCATTAGGGTGTGGGTGTGTGTGTGAGTATATGATTGATTTGATCAAAGCAGACACACAGCCACACCTCACACGTTTTTCTTATTTTTCCTTTTTATATTTTTTGTTTTTCTTTATAGGTGTTCGGGATTTTACAGTGTACTAATAGGTGAAATAGTACGCAACGCAAATAAAACATAAATGATAGAACTTGGTGAATGTAAAAGATAACATCATATGATTCATTTTTTTAATCATGATCATTAATTAACTAGTGACTATTCCGATTCAATTATCTCTCTGTCAATGCATGAACTATTTGACTCTTTAAATAATCATATATGAGGAGGTGCTCACTCATTGTAAAGACATTCGTAATCGTTTAACAAAGAATCAAACATATTTGAAAGATTTTGCATCATTGAAACCTATTCCTGTAAAATTCATTTTACTTTTTCTTTTTCTTCTCTCTTCACATACGTATTTTTGATATTTCTTTCTTTTTTGAATTGATTTTCATATATTATTCGTGTTGACTTGACTTATTAAAAAAAAGAGTCAGCGTCAAATTAGATCTTTGTTTTATTTATCAATAACTAACTTCTTAGCTCACTTTGTTTTAGTTTGCAAATATTTTTCGAATACTTTCGTCAATCTATTTTACTATTAAAAGTCATACATGACAACAACAATATTGTTATAGAATAGTTTATGAGTCTGTATATGGTATGGTTGATTTGGGTGGGAAGATTCCTATCATTTGATATGCTTCGAGATGAATTTAGCTGAAAGGAACTATAGAGAAAGAGAATAAACGATAACGTGATGGCCGATATAAAACGAAAGAACGAAAAAAAAATTATTACATGAAATTAATTCAGTAGACGTTTTTCTCTCTAAAAGATATTTTATATGTAGTCTCTCTAAAGATATCGTCTGCTTATAAAAGATGTGCATTACAAGACAGAAACTGGAAATATACATGATATATCGTACCTTGTATTAGAGGAAAAAACCAAAAGGAAAAAAACATCAGCCACAAAGAAAAAGATACATGCATGTATATGAGCAGAAAGAGAACGAACACACATGGATAAAACCATTATTTAGTCTTTGTCTTATAATGGAAATATCCAACAAGATATCACAGTTCATTCGTAACGTATATAAAGACATGTAAATTTAGTAATCCTATCTGCAATCAATTTGCTTGTGTCTTCGTACAATTTGAATCTTATTTCACATTTTATTAATCATTATCAAAATGCCAGACAGTGTTGAAGGTTGCATTAAAGTTGAAGGTGCTATGTTGGGTGCATGCAATTGTTTTTGGTCAGATATAGTCAGTGGACCGACTGACGTACTGATGAAAGTTCTCAGTTTCGAAAGCTGTCAGTGCAATTACTGCAGCAATGTGTGGTGCAGAAACTGCTTTTCAAGTTGTGGCTGATTCAATAGACTAGTTACAACGGACATCTTTACTTTATTTATTCATTAGAGATTTTTGTAATTGTAATTTTATTTGCTTTATTTGAAATAAAATTAACCAAGATTTAATAAAATCTCTCTTTTTTTTCATAGAGAAGTGATCTTTTAAGAAAATAAAACATATCTCTCACTAATTTTTTCGTTAAGTTAGGAGATCAGTTCATTGGTAAACGAAGATAGAAGGAGTATCTTTAGTATTTTAAGTTATAATAGTTTATTAAACTGGGAAGAGCAATGATATTTAATCAAACCACCACAAACATCATTAAAAATATTTCACTCAAAGTCTTGTTAGATGATGAAAATTCACAATTCATTTTGATTATCAGTTTTTACTATTGAAACTCATAAAATCTTTTCTTTCAATATGCAATGACAATTTTTTTATAACGTTGAACTTTTGTTTTCTTTTTTATTCAAATATATTTATTTGATAACAAAATCATTCATCAATGATATTTTCTGCTTCTTCTTTTTTATCAATTTCTTGAAATTTTTCTCTTAAATTATCCGGTATATTTAATTCAAGTAGATTATCCGTTTCGACATAATAATCTTCATCACCAATTAATATTTGAATAATTCGTTCACATGTACGACTAGAATTAAAATCTAAATTTTCTTGTTGATGGTATTGTCGTATTATGTAATAAATTTGTTTGGAACGAAGATATACACGAACCGGTTTTGTTGCACATAACTGAAACAAAAAACAAAAATCTTTTAAAAAGAAAAGAAAAATTTGTCATACTAGAAGTATTGTTTCAAGAAGAATTTGTTGAATATCTCGATCTGATTCACGTTGTTTAGTACTTGGTAAATATTGCAAATCAATTGGTAACTGTTCATTTTCTTCTTCTGTTAATTCATCAGCTGTTGGACCAGCAAGTGGTAAAAGTAATGCACAAATAAATTCATCATTATCATTCTCATCATGAATTAATTTTTCATGACTTTCTAATAAACAAAACAAAGTTTATAAAAAAAAAAACTTTTCAATAAAAACAAACCATGATCAAAACAACAATTTTTAAGTATACAAGCAACACTTCCTCGTCGAATAGTTGAATGATTTTGATCCGTAAAACATAATAAACGTTTTAAATGTTCATTACTTCTTAAACGTTCTCGAATAACTTTCGATTGTGTTAAATTCACAAGAACTCCTGATAAATAATCTAGATTATTTTTTTTAAGATTATAATCAATCGTAGAAAAAGCTTGTATTAAATGATCAAACCATGATGGATCATTTTTATCTAAATGATCTATAAATTCATTAATTTGATCTATTGTTATCGTGCGTGATGTTATATTTGATAGAAGTTTACATCCAGCATCAGCATGTTCATATTGACGATCATCAATGCAACGCTAAAATATAAAAAAAAATTGTTGTTACAATAGTTTACTGTTTAGTTTTTAGTATTATTACTTTTAATAATTGTAACCAGAAATCATTTGTAATTGATGTTTGTTTATGATTTAATATTGATAATTCATTATCACTTGTTAAATTAATTAAGAAAAGTAATGAATCAAAACGAATTGATTCTTGAACATCTTCAAATATTAAATGACAAACACGTGATAATAATGATGGTTTAGAATCATCATTAGGTAATGATAATATTAAATGACGACCTTCTTTCGATGCAGTTATTGAAAGTAATGTTTGAAGTGCAAGTGATTTAAGATCAAGACGACCTTGTAGATCAAGAAATTCAGATAATTCTTCTAATGCAACAAAGTTAGATGACATCTGAAGAAATAGAAAGAATGGTGCAATCTTCTTTCGGAATTATGTCATGCTCTTAATTTAGCGTTGATTCTAATAGATATCAAACTGATATAATCTTTTGTTTTTATTTTTCATTTATATTTACGCGTTGTTTAATCAGACGAAAAAAAAAGTACAGTATTTTATTAAGTTTTTTTGATTTATGAAAAGGAAAAAAGCGACAAAAAAGAAAAGTAAAGTAAGTCTTCTTACAGAAAACCGATATAAAGGATTAATGATGCCACAGGAATATGTGAATATGACAACATTGTGAGTACGAAATAGAAAACGAAAAAGAAAACGTGAGTTACAAATAAAAAAGAAAGTAAATATGTCCGGTCCTTGATCAATTAGGCTTTCGTCAAAACTAAATAAAAAAAAGAGAAATATTTTATAATAAATTATTTATTTGAAAATTAGAAAAAATGTGGATGTTAGAGTCAGATTAGTTTCTTTATATCCCATAAGAAGCAAAAAATAAAGACAAACCAGAGTCCGAGTAGAATCTTCTTTATCATAATTATTAAGAGAAAAACGTGCTGCTAGTATTTCTATAAAAAGTGAAATAAAAATAAAATAAAAGAAACACACTCCAATAAAACAAAGCTTAAAACATAAAAATTAACAAACCAAAATAGAATGAAATTTCTCATTTCATAAAGCTTCAATAACTTCTAGACAAAATCAATAATATCGAATTATATTTAATGCGTAGTTACATAATGAATATATATACATATACGATTCTTTTTTTCTTATATTAAACATAATTATAAATAAAATAGATTAAACTTACTTTCTAAAGCTTCATTAGCAAAATATTGAACGTCATGATCTGCATCTTGATTTAATTTTTCCAAACATGGTTTAACTTGTGAACCCAATGTACTAAAATTTACAAAAAAGATATTTTATAAAACAATAATTCTTAATTTGTTTACCTTTGATCAATAGCTGAATAGATACGTTGTAATGTTTTGGCAACATTAAATCGAACATTAGCAACAGGATCACTTGCAAGTGTTATAACTGTTGGTAACATCATTCGTTGTGTAACTTCTTGACCACAAGGTTCAGCTAAGACCTTAATTATAGAACAAAATAAATAAAAAAGAAAATATTTTATTTTATTTTAATTACATTTATAGCAAATAAACATGTCATTCGATATAAATAATTTTGTTCACGTGCTAATTGTATAACTTTAGGTATAACTGTATTCTGTGCCCAATCACGACCAAATTTTTCAACTAATTTTTTTAAATTATTTGTTGCGGCTTCACGAATAGCAAAAACATGATCAGTAAGCCAACTCATACAAAGACTACTTAATTTTTCATCAAAAAATTCTGGACCCTAAAAATCAAATTGATCAATACAATTATAGATAATAATTTCTAATAACATACAAGTTGACCAGCTAATAATGGCATATATTCAATAATACCAAGACGAACACGCCATTTAGCATCATTTGCTAATTCAACAATAGCTGGTAAAAGACTTTGTGATAATTGACGAACTCCAATAACCTAAAAAAGAGATAATTAAATATCAGTTTTTATCTATAGAAGATAAACATACTTCATTAATACAATCAAGATTTGAAATAATATTAAGTCGAACTTCTGGATAATCATCTTTCAATTGATTAAGAAATAATGGTAAAAGATGTTCAAGTGTACTGCAAAAAAATAAAATCTTGTCTTTTTTTTCTTAAAAATTAGAATTATAATACATACTTGTCCTTGCCAAGTATAGGTGAAAGACCCATAATAACCGAAGCTAAAGCCGATTTGACATGTTGATTCATATCACCAACCATATCTTTGACACATGGTAAAATTTGTGCCATTATAACTTGTTCGCGTGTATCCGTTGGTAAATTATTACAAAAATCTTTTAATTTTGATGCTGCTGCTGCTCGTACTTCAGCTTCAGGATCTTTTAATAACGAGCAATAAGCATTGACTAAATCATTTTTTGTTATTTCTGGACCAACTGCTTTTTGAAGCTAAAATAATTGTAGAAAAAAGAAATTTTAATTTATTATTATGAAAATAAATAATTTACATCAACAAGTTTGTCAGCAATAACATATCGTACACGCCAAGATTTATCTTCAGTTGCTGCACGTAATGTTTGCATCATTTGTTGTTCAAGATCTTCATGTCGAAATAAACCAGCCATAGCAATACCAGCTTCAATAGCTAAAAGTCGTACACTATCTTGTTCATCATTTGCCAAATTATTAAATAATGGTACAAGTTCTTGACGTAAATAATCTGCTTCAACAACTTTAGCAAATTCACCTAATTTTGATGCTGCTGCACGACGAACCATTGGTGTATCATCTTGACAAAGACTTTTAAATAATCTTTGAAAAAAGAAAAGAGAACATCAAATGAAAAAAAAAGATTTCAATATTAATAATTTACTGTCGTAATTCGCCTTTAACATGATTTGAAACACGTGCATAACAAACAGATATAAGACCTGATGCTGATGTACGGGATGTAAACCAATCACCTTGTGCTAAACGTTTAACAGTTGGTACGAAATATGTTTCTAAATCTGTTGTTGAATGTTGTGGTGCTAATAAACGAAGTGATTCAACAGCTTTATCACGTACAATTGTTTCTTCAACTTGAGCCAAACTTTCCAATGGTGGCTAGAAAAAATAATCAAAATATTTATTAAAAATAAACAAAATTCGTCGTTTTTTTATTTATACCAATAAAACATGAACATGACTTTCACCACCAACAAGTTGTGTAAATGTTCCTAATTGTTCAGCTAATGCCAATAAAACTTCATCTTCATCATAGATCGTGTCTATAAAAAAACAATGTATATATTTTTCCGTTCTATTTTCTATTATTAATGAAAAAAATATTACAAACCAGTAAGAAATGGAATGAGTTCAGATCGTGTTCTGTCAACACCGAGTGCCAATGCAATAGTGGATAATTTTTTTATACTATTTAAACGTAACTTAAAAATAGAAAAGAAAATAATAGAAATTCAAATAATTTAGGGAAAAAAAACTATTATATACCTGAACATCTTCATTACGAAGTTCATCAATTAAAACAGCAATTGGGTAGAGACTTTCATCTGATTGAATATCGCCTGATGCCATTCGTAAAAATTATATAGTGGAATAGAATGAAATCTGAAGAATAAGCAAAAAAAAGGAATAATAATGTGACATGATTAGTAACATCACAACGGAAATGGTAAATATTGGATGTTGAAAAACAATGTCGACTCGTAACCATTGATCTATCATGGTAGCCTCGTAATGTATGACTTACTATGTAATCTTGCGGCATCTACATGAAGTCTATAGAAATTGAAAAGTTATTTATCTTTAACTCATCGTGCCATCATTAAAAAATTTAATTAATATGATTATAATAAACGTTTTATTTTTAAATTTTAAAATAAGACAATAAAAAAGACTTTTGAATAAAAATTTTTATCACACAATTTTTTTAAAATAATGTTTAATTTTATATTCACTATTTTTTACCTAATTCTAATTCTCGCATAAGAACAGTTTCTTCTTCACTAATTATATCATTCACTTTTTGTTCCTCTTGACTTTTCAATGTCGCCCATTTTCGTGGTACAGCTGAACCAAGTACAATATAAGCTAAACCACCAATAAAATATACTATTGAAAAAAGTATAAAAATTTTTCGCCAATCTTCAAGTACAGGTCTTTTTATAACAACACCTGCTATAACATTAGCAAAAAGTGCAGTAAATGTTGCAATTGCAGTTATGATACCAAAAATAATCGATGAATAAGCAGGTATGACATCTCCGAAATTAACAATATAACCAGAACCATAAGCCAATGCTGAAATATACTCACATTTCATATTATAAAGACAATGAAGATGATTAGTTTACTTACCCGAAGCAATAAGAAGAATAATTACAGTTATAATGCCAAAAATTTGTCGTGTATGATCACAAAAACAAAGAATAACCATACAGATAGCAGGAATAAAAGATGTTAATGAATTAAATAATTTTCGAATATTAGTCAACGACATTTTATTTGTTTTAGCAAGAAAATCAGCAATTACACCTTATATATTTGAAATAAAAAAAATTAAATCTTCGATTAATATTATGTGGTAATTTTTTCTTACCAGCAGAAAGGCTACTTATTGGCATAAGAATAAAACCGCCAGCTAAAATATATCCCGCATATTGTGGAGGAACACGATGAATTTCAGTTAATATTTTACCAACATTAGTATAGACAAAGAAAAGACCAAATAAATTACAACATTCTGTAATAAGTAATGCAATAATAGGTTTTGATTTAATAAATTTCATCCATGGTAAAGAAGATAATGAGAAAGTCTTCTTTTTTTTATCATTAGCAACAAGACCAAGATTTTCACATATATAATTACGTTCATTTTCACTAATTGTTCGATGAGTCTGTGGTGAATCAGCTACTAACCATAACCATAATGGAAGCCATATAAAACCGAAAAGAGCAGATAAAAGAAATATATAAACCCATCCGGAACTAACATAACGACAGAGAAGGCCACCGGTTAACATCATGACAGCTTGAAAAAATAAGAATATTATTAATGATAAAAAAAACAACAGTACATCAACTCACATATGCCAAGACTACCACTACAAAAACCTATTGATGTTAATGTACTTTTTTCTGCTGGAACAGCCCATACTGACCAGAACGTATAGGTAGTTGGAAATAATGGTCCATGAGCAAAACCTATGATCACTCGGAAGAAAAGAGCAACATAGAAGTTGAAATTATTTATAAAATATATGCTGGATATTCCCACGGCAGCAATAGAACTAAATAGAAGGCTAGCAGCAAACACTAGTTTAGGGCCGAATTTAATTGCCAGCCAACCACCTGTGTAAGAGAAAAACGAAAAGAAATCGTATAAAATATAATACAAATAAGATTTATTTTCTTAGCATTACTTGGTACTAAAGTAAATATATAACCAAACCAATAACTTCCGAGTAAAATTTGTTGTTGAAGTTCAGACCATGCAAATTTTTTATCTTTTAAAAGTTGAGATCCATATTTTGTTGGTACTGTTGATGTTTGATCGTCCGTTTCATCAGGATATGATGTTAAATTCGATAAAGTATTGTATTTATTTCGATCAACCATACAAACAATACTCATTGATATACTAATTCGTTGTGCATATTGAATAAAAAGTGCAAACGAAACAAGTAAAGCTAAAGTAAAACGAGTTGATGGAATAAGGCGTGGAGTTGTTGTTGTTGTTTTATCATTCGACATAGTTTTAACTCTACAAACTAAATCAAAAACGAGTCATCAAGTAAATAAATCAGTGTCTGAGACTATCGAAACGTAAAGAGTAAAATATTTGTATGTTTGTAGTTTCGTTGGCATCGATTTTTGATCGAAAAAAAGTATCGTCTACTAAAATACGATTGAGAGAAATAAAGAAAAAAAAGGTCTATTTACATACACTTCACATTCCGTACAAGTTGTATTGCTATACTTCATTGCTCGAAGAAAAAAATTCATGTCTTGTAAAAAAAACGGAATAGAGTATTATTTTCAACTATATAGTCTACTACGGTGAAATTTGATGAGAGAGAAAAAAAATCGGCGACTCTGTTTCGTTTACATATGAAAACATTTGTAAATATAAATTAAATGGTCGAACTGTACCTGGATATTTCTGTTTTACATTTAACAATTAATAATTCTTGTTTTTCAGTCGTACATTTATATGTGAAGAGCTTTACAAAACATTGTTTTGTTCGTAAGATATTTGCATATTTCTCATTGTTAAAATTTGAATACTTTATAGAGTATTTCGATTATGTATACAACCGACTAGAAAGAAATGTATTTGAACTAGTGAGTTGTGAATTCAAATATCATATTTCTGTAAAGTATTCTTAAAATTGCAATCAATTAATATTACATTTAAGTATGAATTCATCAGTTGATAAAAGACATTATTTAATCGCCTACTCACTTATTATTAAAAACTTATAATAAAATCCGATACGGTTACTTCGTTTTACACATAAAGTATATGGATATGACCACAATTGACAAGCATCGTTTTAATTCACACATATCATATATAACGATACACGCCTTGCTCATGTAAAATATGATTATGTCACGCTTTATTTATTTTATTATGCATCAACGATTTACTACCTAGAATCAAGTGCATTTGCGGTTTTACACGAAGAATTGTACTTTTCAAAAAGGACCATTGCACAGCTGTGAGTTGTCTACAAACGAACGTGAAGGAATTACTCGCTTCCTTGGACAAGCCATACAAATCATGCATGTCTGATTTTACATGAACAAAATAATGTAGTATAGATTTCATTTTAAATTTAAGTAAAATTAAATGAAAGAATATATCTATTTTATTGACTATATTAATTAAATCTACTCTTTTTAAAAAACTTTTAGTGTAACATCAAAATGGAATCATTGTCGATGTCATAATACCGGCAATTAAAAAACAAATAAATAAAAGTAAAACAATAAGTTTAATTCGAATTAATTTGATCCAACTAGTTTGATCTGTATCTGTCGTTGACTTAGATTCTTTCGATTGAGCTTTATCATCAGTTATGGAAATAGTAGTAATATTAGTTGTAGCAGATTTTGGATTAAAATTAATACGTATAAGTGCAGCTTTAGCATGATGTTCCCAATTAAAACGTTGAACAAGAATAAATAAAAGAATATTCGTAATTGTTTCTGCAGCTATAATCCCAAGCCAAAATCCATATATATCAGTACGAACAAAAAACATTAGTACAGCGGCAAGTGGAATACCACAAAAATAAAAACCTATAAATGAAATTATAGCACCCCGTTTTTGTTTGCCACTAAAATTCAGAAAGAAAAAACATAGAATTAATTACAAAAATATGTTCATTTATTTTACCAAGCTTTAACAATGCCTGTATTAATAATATTATATCCATCCCATATTTGAGCAAGTGCAACAAGTAAAAGTACACGTCGAGCAAGTGTTAATGCATCTGTTTCTGTATTATAAGCAAATGGAAACCAATAATGAAAACTAACAATTAAACATATATCCATTAAAATAACAATTGCTCCAACGGCATATGTCACATTTTTTGTATTTGCTGCTTCCATCGGTTTTCCACTGCCTAAAAATTGACCAATACGAATATTAGCTGCTGTTGCAAATGATGATGTTATTAAATAAAATAACCATGCTGTTTGATAAGCACATACTTGAGCCGATAATGAACGAGCACCAAGATGTGCAGCAAAGAATATACTTAATTCAATTGACCAAAATTCTGTCCTAAAAATTGGAACTTGAAATAAATCAGAATACTAATTCGATAGATATATTTACATGACCATCAATACCCCTGGTATTGATAATTTTAAATAAACATTCCATTCATCGAAACATGCTCGAGTTATTGGATGCCATGTTTCCTTATAAATTGATGAAACACGAATATATATTAGAGCACATAATGCAATTACTCCATAAGAAATAGTAATTGATAAAGGTACGGAACGTATACCCAGATGAAATTTATATAGAAAAAGATAATTTAAAAGAGCATTAATACCATTTCCAATTAAATTAATTATTAATAATGGCCATGTTTTTTCATTTGATGCTATATATTTTTGAAGTAACATTGAAAGACCATCGAATGGTACAGCAAGAAGAAATGAACGTAAAAAAATATCAGCTAGCCGAACAACTTCATGATCATGTTCAACTAATTTTAATGCAAATTTCTATAGAGTAAAAAACAATCGATAGTTATTAAAGAAATTTTTTTGTTAGTTCATATATGTTTTAAAACAGATATTTATATTTAAATAAGTAATTACCGCATTAAGCATCAATGACCATGAGATAAAACATGAATATCCTGTTATAATTACCGCTCGTTGTACGGTTAAACCCATCTTACGTTTATTTCCTCCAAAGCATTGTGGTAATAATGTATCACAACCAAAATTAAGTCCAAGCATTATTGAATTGGCGATTAAAACATAAGTAGATAAGCCTAGAGCGCATGCATTTAATTCTAATTGACCATGTGCATGTCCTACAAATGCAAGTGAAACAAATGCTATCAACCATGAAGCAAGAACATTTCCCATTGCAAATGGAAACGTAATTTTCACTAATGTTAATGCTTCATTACGAAATCCAAGTGGAAAACATCGTTTCATAAACGATACTGATGTTGGTGTTGTCTCGGCCATCTAAATATTAAATAAAATGACTTTAAAAAAGGTGAATAGATTTATATTCGAAAGGTTATAATAGATACGGAAAAGGTCGATGAAAATGTTTGTTTTTATATATTAATACTTGTGATAATTTGTTTTCGGTGCATAAATCTTGATCTACATCATTCGATAATTTTCCCATGAGATTTTCGTTACATGTCATTTTTATTATTGATTTTTTTTTGAGAAATTGTTGTTTTTTTTATCTGAAAAAATAACTAAATATTATTTTTTTTCACTTTTTTTTTTCTTTAATAAATATCTGATGATTTATATTTTAATCTATCAATCAACCAATATAAATATTTATTTCTGAAATAGTACGTTTGTTATTGATTCTAATAAAAAAGGAAGAAACAGTTAACATTAACAATTCCGTCATTTTATTAGATATTCGTATGTTTTTCTGTTCTCATGTGTAATTTACATACAATGAGTCATCGTTAAAAAATTTTATGCATGAATTTACGAGTTTTTATTCATATGAAAGGAAAAAGGATATTTCTATGGAAAAAAAAATAATAAATAGGAAATGAATATAATAAAATAGACAATCATATGGCGTTTTTAACTAACATTGACAGGAAAATCCTTAGAAAAAAAAAAAGATCGTTCCATATAGTTAGTGACATTAAGAATAGCTTCATTTCTATGATAACATTAGGAACCGAGACGTAGAAAGGAGAAGAAAAAAATCGAAGAAGACGAAGAAAAGAAAAAGAAGAACTACCACTAACAAGAAACGCCATTTCTTTTTCATTAATAATACTCTGGTTTTCTTCTGTCGCCGATGTTTTTATTGTTCAGCAGTCAACAGTAGAGAAAAAGGATAGAAGAAGAAAAAAAAAAAGAAGAGAATAAATATATACATCATCAACATCATCATCATCATACACAACAACGATGTCACAAAACACGATATACTTAAATTAAAAGCTACCATCATTTACTTGTTGATCCAATATTCGAGGTTTCAACAACAAACGATAGTATGCTACGGTAAGTCTATCCTTTCTACATCTAAGAAAAACATGTATCCAATTGTCGTTAAGTTCAGTATGTGTGCTTTTATAGTTGCGTGATATATAGACATTGTATCATTTCCGATTGTTCAAAATTATTTCTCTAATAACATGAACAAGTTTATTTCTAGTGCAAAGTATTAGAAGGTATATAGAATAAATTAATCAAAGATTTGTAATCCTCTATAAGAATAAATAATTATCTCTTAATGTTGAATATTCAAGAAAAGAAGCTGTCAAGTTGCATCAACTATGATTTTTTTTTCATTACTTCGATGTTTGCGTCAAGTGTCATATCCATTTACTGTGCGCAATCATCAAGCAAATATTGAAATATGAAATACATTTATATGTTTTCGATTGAATCTATATACACATAATACGAGGAATAGCAAATAAATTTGAATTGGTTTTTAATTTTCTTATCAAAATTTAAAGAAAAAAAGAGAAACTAAACTTATTTTAAATGTCATTTTCAGTAAGGAAGTTATCATCCTCTTTTAAATACGTCAAAAATGAGTTGATAGACATTTGATGTAAAGAATAATGACATAGTCACACTCGTCAACACTGTTCACTAATATTTCCTTTTTTATTAATGTATATACGACAGGTTTTCCTTCTAGACAAGCAGAAAGAATAAAAAAAAATAGTGGCTGTATAGAAGTTTTGTCATGGAAAAAAAAGCAGAATGACTTGAGGATTTTTTTTCTCGGAGAGTACGCACTAATTTGATTGTTCAAAGCAAAAGTAGTTCTACTATCATGATTAAAAAATATATATACAAGTTGAAAATTTTAGATTCATTTCCAAAGTCACACATACATATATATATATATATGATTTCGAAAATATACTTATTATGATTGAATTCATATATTATTTATGCTATTTTCTCAATTATGATAGGAATAGATAACATACATATAATAAAATAATGTACAAGGATTACTTGAAGACATTTTCTTTGCTATTATTCTATAAATTCGACGCAAAAAAATAACTGATCGTGCTAAGTCTTAGAATCAATTATACAACAGACAAGGGAATTCTATTGAAATTATTAAATAGAAAAACTATATATATATATATGCATCTAGTAAAACAATTACTAATAGGCTATATACAGTTTTTTTTCTCTCGAATGGTGTATAGCTGTTTACGTAAACTTAATAATATTAATTAGAAAAAAATCAGTAAAACTAATGAATATATACAGTCATTTGATATTTATAGAGACGAAGAAATAAAATAATTTAGACGAAGAATTAAACGAAGCGTAAGAACTCCATCGAACTATTTATCATCAAAATCTATATAGATTTTTCGATTCATAATAATAATAAGTTATCTTTTACACCCACCATCTGTATACAATTAATATTAGTATTGTCATATGTCCCTGAAAATGATGGTAATATAAATAAAATAAAAAACAGAAAAAGTTTTTTTTTCGGTTGATGTCGATAGAATAACCCGTATTAAACCTCAATAAATAAATATACAGAAGTAATTTACATACAGTAGAACGAAACATAAACGCCCTTATATGCTCGCTTTTATTCTTTCTTTTCATTCGTAGCTCAGTATGCGATTCTTTCGCCAGGATTGATATTATTAAAGAAAAAAAGGTCTGATATTATGCGGATTTCAACCAATGTCATGTACGTAAGCGAACTCTGGCCTTTTTTGTATTAACTAGATGTCTAGCTCTTATATTGATTATTAATATTTTTAACAAAATTAAATTATAAATTTATCTTCATATTTTAGTTATTCACGATTGCTTGTTCGTCATCATTGGCTTGTACTTGGTTTTGTTATTTTCATTTCAATAATATTAACAATTATTGGTATTGCTTTTACACAATTACCAGATTTTTCCGATCCAAGAAATGTAATTGAGTTACTTTAAAGATCTTTATTTTAATTATATCTATTATAGGGATGGGGTGCTCGTGGTAAAGGTACAATATTTTCTCAATTAATGGTTTTAAGACATGCATCGGAAAAATTTCGTCTAGCATATGAATTACCATTAGATAATTATGAATTATTTGGTGCATATAATCAATTTTCAAATGTAATCGTTGATGATCTTGATGAAGATTCATATCGATCAGATATACTTGCCAAGCATGATTTATGGCGAAAGAAAAATTCGAAGAAACAAAATGATGAATTAATTGATTATAATAATTTAAATGAAAATTTTTATGATAACGATGATGATGATGTACCACCAGATTATGAAGATGACTATTCTCAATCACCATCATTACTTTATCAATGGAATCGTGATAGACATTTTGATGTTGATACTACAATTACAAAATATGTTGATGATAAAATGTAATATTTTTCATATGAAATTATTCTAAATATTTATTTTCTATTTTTAGGATTAATATTACTGTTTCAGAATTTGTTAAAAATTTACCACGATTTAATGAAAATAATTATAAATCAGCTAGATTACCATTTGATCTTTTTCGACCATATGCATATTTACTTGAAGAAAAATATCGTGGTCGAGTAGGTAATATACTCTTGTTGATTTTATATTTTACATTATTAAGTATCACATCTATATAAAAAAAAAGAAGAAAAAAGAGTGACATTCTATACAAAGTTAACTATCATATGTCGATAATATTTTTTTTTCATAAATTAAGCCGAGTTTGATCAAACCTAATGTTCGTTGATATAATATCATTATCTGCAAAAACTTCTTATAAAAATATCAAAAAAAATTAAATTTTATATTAGAATAATCATATAAAGTTTTGAGTATGTGTATAATGTAATAGATCTTAAAATAAATAGAGAATTCTATTAATATAAAAAATTTAATTATCCTATCTGTAGGTATTTCATGAATAATTGGTACCTAGAATAAATATACTCTGTCATACTCTTTCAATATCTTATGATATATCGTTCTCTCACTGATTAATTTCCGGTATATAGATATTTTCCATAAAATAGCCCATAGGAAATAATTATATCAATATAACCTTTTTTCTAAAGTATCTAGTTTCTTTCATTACAGATAAATGCGTATCATTTTCTTCTAATCCTCATATGATATTTTCTTTTATATATCAAAGACTTTCTTCTTATCTTCTAATTGGTGTAATATATACTATTTCATAGATCTATTTTTATTTTAGGTCGTGATGGTATGATTGAATTCTATATTGAACGTACGCAATCATCAGATGATTTACTTTCTATTAAACATTTACAATCAATATGTCAATGGGAAAAAAAATTTAAACATCTTCTTTCTCTTAATTCAAGCCAAAGTCTTTCATTAGCAACATTTGTTGCATTATATTCAGCAAAAAATGATTGTCGATTAATTACATCGAATGATGTTGAACATTTTCGTTCAATACTTCATACATGTTTACCATATTATTTAAATGGTTATATGGATATTCCATTAAGTGATACATTTCTTAATCGTGTTATATCAGAACATCAACAAGGTCATTTTACTCATCAAGAACAAATTAAAGCGGTTTATACAGCATTACGTCATACATGTTTTTATAAAAATATAACACGTTTTATATTCGATCATTTTGTTGATAAACAATTTTTAAATGAATTACAACAATCAAAAACTGATTCAAAAGTTTCATTATCAATGATATTTATATCAAATTATAAAAGTATTAAATACAATCGTACACGTGATCAGGTAACATGTTTAAGACGACGACCACATTCAATAAAATATTGTGAAGAACGTGGTTGTATGAAAGATTATCGAAATAAATTATTAGTACAAGCATGTGCAAATCGAGCACCACCATCAGGTAGTTGTTCACAATATTGTCAATGTAAATTTCAATGTCGAAATGAAACTGAACAAACTGTTTTAATAACACCAATTTATAAAGTACATGAATTAGTTGATTTATTTGAAAAATATTTTGCTGGTAAAAGACAATTACCAACATATCAAGATAAATTTATTAAATTAATTGCATTGAATTTTGCTAATGTTCGAGAACGAGCTGCTATGGCAAGAATATCTGAAGGTCATTTCTTTTTCTTAATGAATATTTGTTTTAAAAAATAATTTTTTGTTTAATAGATATGCTTCTTGTTTTAATTGCAACGGCATTAATTGTCGGTATAACAGTACTTTATTTACGAAGTGTTTCAATAGCTTTAGTTATTATTATTGGTGCCGCTTTATCAATTGGTGTTAGCTATTTTATTTATCGTGTTATTTATCGTATACCAATATTTCCATTTATGAATTTAATGTCAGCATTTATATTAATTGGCATTGGTTGTGATGATATATTTCTTTTCTTTGATACATGGGATCAAGAAAAAGCTGAATGGTTAAAGAAATATCAGGATAGACAACAGACAGGTAATAAACTAAATCAGAGTCATTAGTAAAAATATTTTCTTTATTTAGAAGTTAATATTCCATTAACTGAAATAAATAATGAAAAACAAATAAAGAAAAAGAAATTAAAAATTCCACCTAATGCATTTCAGTCACGTCATCGTTTACTTGTATTTAATGATCCGGAAGAAATGAAAAGATTATTATCAAGTGAAGAAGCATTAACAGAAATTATGGCTAAAACATTGAAACATGCAGCATCATCCATGTTTGTTACATCGTTTACAACATCAGCAGCTTTTTTTACTAATATGTTAACAAATATTTCATTTGTACAAGTATTTGGTGTTTTTACTGGAACATGTATTTTACTTTATTTTGTTATTACAGTTACAGCTATTGCTGCATTTGCTGTACGTTAAAAATTCAAACAATTCTTATTTTATAATCTATTTTTCTTTAAGGTCATTTATGAAAAATATATTCAAAATATTTTATCACGTTTACTTTCTATTCGTCTAACAAATGTTGTTGACACATCATCAAGTAGTCCATCAGTTAAATTATGTCGCCGTCTGGCAACTGTTTGCCGTGATATTCGAAGTTATATTTTTGGTCATTTCATACCTGTGATTATTATTAATTTACGTTATTTATTAGTGTTACTATTTTTACCTATGGGTATTTTAGGTTAGTAATGTTTAATTCAATTTTTAATCTATTAGAATTAATTTTCTTTTGTTTTGTCAGGTCTGGTCGGAGTTTTTCATTATCCAAAATTACAAGTTCCATCAACACAAAAAGTTGCTTTCTTTTTAAAAGATAATCCAATGGAAATTTATGAATTTACAATGAAAAAGATTTTTAATGGATATTCAAAAGAAGAGAAACGTTTATTTGCTTATCCAGCTGTTTCATTTATATTTGGCATACGTGATATTGATGATGGATATATATTTGATATGAATGATCGTGGTCATCTTCATTTAATGCCAGTTCATTTAGAACGTCATACTACATTAGATTTTTTCAAACGATTTATATCAGATTTAGGTACACGTCCAGATTTATTTGGTTCGAATTATGATTTAGACAAAGATTTTGAATCATTTTATGAAGTAAGATCTTTTTTTGCTTCTTATTATTAACAAATATTTCATTTGTTTGTTTTTCATTAGCTTACTACAGAAAATATTTTAATAGCAAAAGTAGCTGATGATCGTGCTAGACAAAATTTATCAGAAACAAATCATTTAAATATGATTAAATATTTATCTAAAATAAATACAACTTTAATACAAAATTTAGTAGATGATACAGTTCAAACAATTGGTTATAAAATTGAAAATGATGAATCAGATCATGAAGATTATATTGATCCAAAATCAAAAAAAATTAATAGGAACTTAAAAAGAATTAGTTTAAAACAATTGAATAATCAAACAAATCCAATTATTGCTTATTCAAATTATAGGAAATTATTTAATAAAACTTTAGAAAAATATTATAAAGAACAGGTTCGACAAAAAATAAAATATTATTTTTCTATTATTATTTTTTTTATGCAAAAATTTTAGATTCAACGTACTTATGATCGAAACGAAATTCGTATTTATTTAAATGGAACAATACGTGATATACTTACTCAGGAATATCATCGTGCAGCATTAAAAACAGCTATGCAATGTTTAACCGGTGAGGCTGGTGCCAATAATGTACCACCTGATTTCTGTGAACGACAACTTAATAAACAACGTTCTGTTAATTGGGCTGTTTTACCTGATAAAATATCACCAATTGATGGAAGTGTTCGACCATTTGCCATTATTATTACTATTCGAGGTATAGAAGAAAGTTTTAAATCCTAAATTTTATGATATACAATATACATTTAATAGTCGAACAAAATGATAGAAACTGAGTTATCCGTTCTATTGCTTATGGACCATAGCAAAATACTTCTGTTTTTGAGCTTCTGAAAATGATCTGACTCAGTTTTTTGTGCTAATTTCAAATCTGTCTTTAATTCTTGACTAAAATTCTTATTTGAACTAGAAACTATCTAAAATAGATATAGTACGAGTGAACGCAATTTTTCTCAACACAAAAAAGAAGCGATGCGTAGTTTTATGGATGAATGGTGGTAGAATGAGTCCAATGACATAATCCATTTCACTCCATCAGTTACCTAGAAAGCCTATATATATTTACAAAATCGACCAATACGCAGTGGACTCGCCGAGATTTAAAGTGCCGCTACCAATAAAGTTTTGAACAATCTTTAATAATTTCTTTTTTAAGGTGCACTTAATCGTACAAATTATGATTCATACAATACTTATTATTTCAAAATAAAAAATTTCTTTGATCCATATATAAAAAGACATGCACCAGAACATTTACAACATGCATGGTTTTCTTCTCCTGGTTTTGCATTTTATGGTGTTCAACGTGAATTACTTGTTGGTTCCTATTCTTCTCTTGTGGCATCACTTGGTATTGCATTACTTGTACTTTTTCTTACATCAGGCAATTTATTTATTGCAATCTATGCCTTAATTACAATTACTTTTGCTATTGGTAAATAAAATTTTATCTATATGAAAATTGATTAAAAAAATTTCTTTTTTTTTTCTAGCTGTTAGTGTTGCTACATTTGCTGCATTAAAATGGGAATTAGGAATTATTGAAGCTATTATTGTTATTATGTCTGTTGGACTTTCAGTTGATTTTGTTGTTCATTTTGGTGTTGGTTATATTCATACAGATTCAACAGATATTGAACGTGAACGAAAAAAGATTAAAAATCGTTATATATCATCAATATCAGTACCAGCAGAATCTGCTGATAATCAAGAAGTACAAACTTCTCCAAGTAAATCATTTGTTTTTATTATATAAAGAAAAGAAAAAGAAAAAATAACATCTATGATTCATTTTCTAGAAATTAGTTCTTATCGTTTATTATACAAAGAACATCAAATCGAACGTGAAACACGTGTTACTGAATCTATATCACGTGTTGGTTCAGCCGTATTTATGGCTGCATTTACAACATTTGCAGCTGGATTTTCAATGACATTATCAGCACTTACTTCATTTCGACAAATGGGACAATTTTTAATGACAATAAGTATGTTAAGAGATATATATTTATTTTAATTTTATCAAATATTCTTTTAGTGTTTATGTCATGGGTATTTGCAATGTTTTTCTTTTTACCTTTATGTGCTATTATTGGACCAGTTGGTAAATGTGGTTCAATACCATTTACACGGATCAAAGAATTTTGTAAACGATGTTTATTATGTTGTCGTCGTCGTCAAACTTCAAACAATGATATTGATGAATGATATAGAGTTTTTTTTTATGCTATAGGAAAATCTAGTCAAACTTATTGTAGCAAAAGACAAAATCATGAAGCTAAACTTTCCCTTTTTTTTCCTTCAAATCCATCCCATTTTTTCCCGTCCATATTGAATCAGTTTTATTTTGTCAGATAGAGCAAACAATAAACTAAAATCAATTTTTTTCTTCATTTCTAAAATAATTAATCAAACATATAAATTCTCATTTCAGCGTGAATTAAATCTACAGGGGTTATTTTTGTTTTCATTTATATATCTGCAAAAAAAAAATATGTCCATAAAAATATATAATCGATACATTTTTTGTTTTTAAGCAAATATTAAATTCCAATGCATGAGTTTTACTTTTTTTAATTTATATTTATTAATATTTCTTTTCTTGCTTTTGTTTAACTTTATCTTTACATGTCGTTATATATTTATTGTATTGTGTGTGTTTATGTATTTTTATGTAGTAGAACGGGCAAAAATATCTTTTCAAAATAAATGTGAATTTATTTTAAACAAATTGTAGAACATCATATGTAGACAAAGATTTTTGATGTCTGAGTATGTAAAAGAGATTGATCGATGTTGATATAGTTGTTCTTGTCTTTATCCTTGAATAGAAATCAATTTCTTTTTTTTTCGAAGGAAGAAAAAGAAAAAGTTTTGGGACTATAATCATATGTCAAATACGATTAGACATGGGATCAAAGCATAGTATATTATTGTCTCAAGAAGAAATACGATCAATTTGTGAAGAAACTGATTTTACACCTAAACAACTTCAACGTTTGTATATACGTTTTCAAGAATTAGAAAAAAGAAATCCACCACTTGGTTATCTTACACGTGAAGATCTTTTAGATATTCGTGAGGTTGCATTAAATCCTTTAGGAGAACGTCTTGTTGATGTGATTATGCAAGATTATGGTTTAATCTTTTTTTTGTTTTATTATTTCTTAAGTATATATATTCATTCTATTTTAAGGTGATGTTAATAAACTTAATTTTCAACAATTTGCAAATGTTTTTGCTCGATTTCGACGTGGTAAAACTTTAACAAATTTAAATATAAAAGAAAAAAAATTATTATTTTTGTTCAGTGTTTGTATTTAATAAATACTATTGAAATAAAAAAAAAGATTTTAAATTTCATTCTATTTAGATATATGATCGTAATCATGATTCAAAAATTGATCGAAATGAATTAGTAGAAATTCTTAAAATGATGGTTAGTTCAATTAATATAGAATAAATATTTTGATTTTGTGTACAATAGGTTGGTGGAAATATTCATGAAGATCAAATAGCAACTATTGCTGATCATACAATTGGAGAATTGGTAAAATTTGATTTGTTTTCTATATTTAAATTCAGTTTTATTTTATTTATAGGATGCTGATGGAGATTTAACAATAACATTTAAAGAATTTTGTGATACAATATCAAAAATTGATGTTGATGAAAAAATGTCAATGAAATTTTTAAATTAAGAATAGATATAGATTTCTAAATTGTTTCCCAATTTAATTATATATGAATAAAAGTTTAATAAGACATCTTTGATTTAGATGATAATACTTCAAGGCAAATATTCCAGTACGAATCATGATACCAACCTCAACCGTCTTCTTTCATTTTCAAAATCTAATGAAATAAATATATTTGAGTATAATATGTCACTATTTATACAGATATGAGTAGTATTTTAACAAGATTACATTCGTTAAAAGATTCTCTTGAAGTCAATAATATGTTAATATCTACAACATAAATATCAAAGGAATTCTAATCAAATACACTCGCATAACTTTTATTTATAATACTCAAAATCTATTAACAAGTATATCGTGATAAACTTTCGTAAAATAATCAATGTCTACCCTTCAAAGTTTGGTTAGACAAGTTGTTCGTCTCTGACTCATTATATTATCTTATTATACACGAACGACATCTAGCAGATATGAAAAATTTTTTACTAAAATTTTATTTTTTATATGATTTATTTAAGAAATCATAATAAATTTTATTGAATAAAATCGTTTGAAATAATTTTTTAATTTTCTAAAAAAAGGCTTTAATATGATCAATTGATCTCATTCATTTCTTTATTCATTGGTTAATATAACCATCGGATCTACCGTATGTATGTAAAGCAAAGCACAGTAACATTCACTGGAAATATTTTGTTTATTTGTTCTGTTGACTAGTTTACAATTTAAATTTTATCCTCTCATTTTCTTTTTTTTTCTAGACATTCACATCTCTATCCATCTCATCTCTTGTTAAATAAACAATGTCGAACGAACATCTTGCATTAAAAGGCGTTCTTGTTGGCCATAATGATTGGGTAACACAAATCGCAACAACACCACAATTTCCTGATATAGTTTTATCATCATCACGAGATAAATCGATTATAATTTGGCAATTGAATAATCAACATGACCCAACTGGTGAAAGTACATCATGTGGTGTACCAAGTAAAGCTTTACGTGGTCATTCACATTTTGTTTCGGATGTTGTTATATCAAGTGATGGTCTCTTTGCTGTCAGTGGTTCATGGGACAGTTCATTACGTCTTTGGGATTTATCAGTTGGTACAAGTACACGACAATTTGTCAGCCATAAAAAAGATGTATTAAGTGTTGCATTTTCGGCTGATAATCGACAAATTGTTAGTGGTAGCCGAGACAAAACAATTAAATTATGGAATACAGTCGGACAATGTAAATTTATTGATTTTCAAAAATGAAATTTTAATATTTTGAATTGTCTTCTTAAATTTAGGCAAATATACAATTGTCGATGATAACCATTCTGATTGGGTCTCATGTGTACGTTTTAGTCCAAATCAAAAAGATCCACTTATTGTCTCAGCTGGTTGGGATAAACTTGTTAAAGTAATATTTCATCTTTTATATTATTTATCTATTAAACTTCATTAATTCAAGGTTTGGAATTTAACTAATTGCAAATTACGTACAAATCATTATGGTCATAATTCATATATCAATACTGTTACAGTATCACCTGATGGTTCATTATGTGCTAGTGGTGGTCGTGACGGTAAAGCTATGTTATGGGATCTTAATGATGGAAAACATTTATATACACTTGAAAGTGGTGATATCATTAATGCATTATGTTTTTCACCTAATCGATACTGGCTTTGTGCTGGTAAGAAAGATATATATACATAAAATTCTATTTTGAACTAAATCTTGTTTTGTTTGATCTTTTTTAGCAAGTGGTTCATCAATTAAAATCTGGGATTTGGAAACAAAAACAGTCGCTGATGAAGTTAAATCAGAAAAACAATGTACATCATTGGCATGGTCTGCTGATGGTCAAACATTATTTGCTGGTTTTACTGATAATCAAATACGAGTATTTGAAGTACAACAACGTTAAATTGATTAAAAAGGCAATAGCAACAGAAGAATATCTAACATCAGTGATGATTATAGTAGAAAAAAAAAATTTTTGTTTTGTAAACCGACTATTTTTAATCTTCTTGTTGTTATCATTATTGTCATGAAAACAAAAACAAAAAAAAAGAAAGAAAATGATTTATGCCGGTTTTATTAAAATAGGCATTTTCGAAATATTTTCATCAAAACAAAAATAAAAAAACCAAATGTTAAATACAGAATTTTTCTATTAAACAAATCAGTTAGCAAATGTATCATAGAATATGAAGTATAACTAATCGATTAGTTGTTAAAATTTTATCTAATAGTTTTAGTTCTAATAAGATTGAAGTTGTCAAACTTTTAATTAGACGTTTGCAATTTAAAACAAATACTGATGATTGATTTTTAGTTTTATTTATTCGAGATTAGATGATATAATAAACTACAGACTAAAAAATTTTACAGGTTAAAAATGTATCTGTTTTTAATGCTTGTGATTTTCAATTGATTGTTGTCCTTCCTTATGTTCAACAAATGGTGCTTCAATCTTTAAATGACCATCATCAGTTAAATGAGATTGAAGATGATCGACTTGTGTTCCAGGTGGTAATGCTGTTGATTTGAAGAAGAATGATCGTTCAGAACGATTCTTATCTTGATGTCGATGTTCACCTTGAACAATAAGTTCATTGTTTTTTACTGAAACTTTGATTTCTTCTGGTCGAAAGTTTTTCATTCCAACAGCCATTTCTAATTGTTTTTGATTGTTTCCTTTATCGACAATACGCGGTTGAAAGTCTGAACCACCCAAGAAACCAGCATAATCAAAGAGTGGATCACGATATTGACCAAATTGAGTCAAGCTTTGATTGTCATTTCGTGCTTGTTGAAGTCGACGTTCAGCTTCAGGATTTTCAATGGGTGCTTCAATAACCAACATATTATTTGGTGTTACATATGAAGCCATACGATTTGCATCTATAGAATAAAAATAATAAATAAGCAACACGTTTAGTTTTAAATGACACATTACTTACTAGCATGTTCCGGAAGTTCATATGTTTTTCGAATTTCACGAACACTAAAATCACCATCAGGCTGACGATCTTCTTGTTTAGCTTCGACAATTACTTTTCGACCTTCGACTCTTGTTTTAATAGTTTCTGGATTGAAACCAGCAATATTAAGTTGAGTACGGAATTTCTCTGCATGAGGTGCAGGTGATGTTGGTTCAACATTTTGCTGACCATGTGTTAATCGAAGTGGTTCATTAACCCATCGAAATGCATTTGGTTGAGCTGTTAGTGCAGTTGGAAATGTGTCGAAATCACGCCATGGATCGAAGAAATCAAGTTGATCACCAAAGAAACGATCGAATGGATCGTCAAAGCGGCGATAACGATGAATAGGAAAGAATGCCATTGTGTTTGATAGATTTGCTTTATAAAATGTTGAATAGTCGCGATTGAATGTTTGAATGTATAATCTTAACGCAGATATTCACGCATATTTATATATGGCCGGCGAGCAGTGAAATAAAGAGTTGTAGCAATACCTAGAATATTCGCGAATGTTCTTGTGTGATCATTGTCTTTCCAGCTTTTTCTTGTTCTCTTTTTCTTTTTTTGTTCTCTCTTCACTTCTTTCTCTCTTTCTTTTCTATCAACAAACGAAGGTTATCGCTGACGTTTTTCAAATAAAAGTAGATCTACTATTTCGTCTGTAAATGTAGAAATAATGTCCTACTTTCTCTAAGAATTTATTTTAAATATGAACATAACAGTGATGCAATGATAGTTGTGATAGTCATAATGCCTAACACTTTATATGTTCTTTTAACATGCGGCGAGGATAAAATGACACTTTTCTTTATAAATTCTAAACAGATGAATTAACTTTTTCCGATTTATATTAATCAATTATACTGATGCTTATAGAAAACAAATTAGCAATACATTAAAGAAAAAATGAATAGGATTTTTCTCCATTGAGAGGGTGTTGTAAATGAACGATTAATTAAAACTTTCTAATAATGTCCTCGTTGAACTCAAACTTTTTGAAAAATATTGTTATAAGTTGAAATGAGGTTTTTATTAGATTATGAAGGCTATCCTTTACATTATTTTTTCTAAATGATAGTCGTTATCTATCTGAACAGCTTTTAAACTAAGACGTGTTAGACTATTTAATCTTATAGATGTTCATTATCATTTACATTCTATTAACTATTATATTTAAACACTTCGCAAATTAGCTAATATACTTAATATACAATACTGTTCAACTAGATACTACTACATAGTCAATCTGAAAACGTTGTTTATAATATATATTCTTCATCATTCATATTCTTGGTACTTTTTCAACTGAGAAATATTTCGTTCAACTCATTGATTTATTTATAAATAAGAATGACAGAAAAAGAATATTTTTAATGTCTTCTTTTTATTATATTCTAGCAACTAGTCAATACAGTATGTAATACACAACAGATTGAAAAGTGTTTACAAGTCAAAAATGTATTTGTCTTTAGTTTTTGTGACTTTCAATTGATTGTTGCCCTTCTTTATGTTCAACAAATGGTGCTTCAATCTTTAAATGACCATCATCAGTTAAATGAGATTGAAGATGATCGACTTGTGTTCCAGGTGGTAATGCTGTTGATTTGAAGAAGAATGATCGTTCAGAACGATTCTTATCTTGATGTCGATGTTCACCTTGAACAATGAGTTCATTGTTTTTTACTGAGACTTTGATTTCTTCTGGTCGAAAGTTTTTCATTCCAACAGCCATTTCTAATTGTTTTTGATTGTTTCCTTTATCGACAATACGCGGTTGAAAGTCTGAACCACCCAAGAAACCAGCATAATCAAAGAGTGGATCACGATATTGACCAAATTGAGTCAAGCTTTGATTGTCATTTCGTGCTTGTTGAAGTCGACGTTCAGCTTCAGGATTTTCGATCGGTGCTTCAATAACTAACATATTGTTTGGTGTTACATATGAAGCCATACGATTTGCATCTATAGAATGAAAATAATAAATAAGCAACAAGTTTAATTCTAAAAGATATATTATACTTACTAGCATGTTCCGGAAGTTCATATGTTTTTCGAATTTCACGAACACTAAAATCACCATCAGGTTGTCGATCTTCTTGTTTAGCTTCGACAATTACTTTTCGACCTTCGACTCTTGTTTTAATAGTTTCTGGATTGAAACCAGCAATATTAAGTTGAGTACGGAATTTCTCTGCATGAGGTGCAGGTGATGTTGGTTCAACATTTTGCTGACCATGTGTTAATCGAAGTGGTTCATTAACCCATCGAAATGCATTTGGTTGAGCTGTTAGTGCAGTTGGAAATGTGTCGAAATCACGCCATGGATCGAAGAAATCAAGTTGATCACCAAAAAAGCGATCAAATGGATCGTCGAAACGGCGATAACGATGAATAGGAAAGAATGCCATTGTGTTTGATAGATTTACTTTGTAAAGTGTTAAATAGTCGCGATTGAATGTTTGAATGTATAATCTTAACGCAGTTGTTCACGCATATTTATATATGGGGGGAGAGTAGCAAAATAGAGAGTTGTAGCAATACCTAGAATGTTCGCGAATACTCTGTTGTGATCGTTGTCTTTCCAGCTTTTTCTCGTTCTCTCTTTCTTTTTTTACTCTTTCTTTATAACTCTCTTCACTTCTTTTTTTTCTTTCCTATCAATAAACGAAGATGATAGCCGACGTTTGCGAAAGAAAAGTATAGTTAATTTTTCTTATGTAAAAATGAAAATAATGCCGTACTTTTTTGTAAGAATTCATCTTGAATATGAACATTAGTAATATTTACTAACATATGTATGTAACATAATATTGATGCAATGATAGATGTCATAGTTACAATGTATAACTTTTATCTTTGCTTTTGCCACGTGACTAGTATAAAGTGATACTTTACTTTTTAAGTTGTAAACTGATAAATTGACTTTTCGATTTATAGTATAATCAATTATATTGATGGTTATAGAAAAATTGAGTAGATCAGTTTTACAGGAACTATTTACAATATATATTCTACATCATTCATATTCTTGGTACTTTTTCAACTGAGAAATATTTTGTTCAATGTATTGATTTATGTGTGAATAAAAATGACAAATAAGAATCTTTTCAATCTTTTTTTATTTATTATATTCTAGCAACTAGTCAATAGACTAAATAACACTACATATATAATAATTTTTAATGTTTATTTCTTTTAATAGTTCAATTGATTCCACCATGTTCTTTCATTAAAAATAGGGTGCTTCAATTTTCAATTGAAATTTATCATTAAATTGAGATTGAAGTTGATCGATTTGTGTTCCAGGTGGTAATGTTGTTGATTTATAAAAATAGGATCGTTCGGAACGATTTGCATCTTCACTTCGATGTTCACCTTCAACAATTATTCTATTATTTCTTACTGATACATTAATTTCTTCTGGTCGAAAGTTTTTCATTTCAACGAACATTTCTAATTGTTTTTGATTATTTCCTTTATCAACAATACGTGATCTAATATCAGAATCATCTGATAATCCCATATTATCAAATGAAGTCAAACTTTGATTATTATTATTATTATTTGCTTGATTAAATCGACGTTCAGTTTCAGAATTTTGAACTGGTATTTCAATAGCTAATTTATTATTTGTTGTCACATGTGAAGTTAAACGATTTGTATCTAAAGACAACAAAAATAAAACGATAAGTATAAAAGTTTATTTATGAATAATGTTATGTACTTACCAACATTATCTGGAAGTTCATAACTTCCTCGTATTTCTCGAATGACATGATCACGATTTCCTTGACGTTCTTCTTGTTTACCTTCAACAATTAATTTGCGACCTTCAACTCTTTGTTTAATCGTATTTGGATTAAATCCATTTATATCTAATTGAACCTGAAAATTCTCTGGTTGAGAATTTCGCGATGTTAATTCAAGATTGTTTGTGCTACTTCTTCTACTACTACTACATGAATACGATCGTCGTTCTTGTCGTTCAATTCGTTCAATTCGTCGAATTCTTGATGCAGTTGGAGGAAACAATGGGAACATATGAAAATCAAACCATGGATCGAGGAAATCAAGTCGATTGAAAAAGAATGGATCATCAAAAAAACGATGATGATAAAATGGAAATAATGACATGATTAACTAGAAGTTATTGTTGTTGAAGAATGTCAGTTAGCTACACTTAAACACTTCTAAACGTATAAAAAAAGAGATGAATAGTAGTCAAAGAAAATGAAATTATAATATGAATAGATCTATTCAAGAAACTTATCCTGTCTGCATCTGTTTTTCTCCTATGCTTGTTTTTATGTCGAAAACCTCTTTTTTTATACACAAATCTCAATTCTAGTTAAATGTTACAAACCTGTCAAAATAGCAATAGGTTTAAGAAAGAATAAAGGTAAAGCACAGTATGCTTAATAGTTAATCTCTTGTTCTATTTATCAAAAACAACTATGCTTATACAATAAAAAACATAACAATTGACAGAAAATAAAATTATGTTTTATATTATTTCTTAGAATGAAATTTAATTTGAACAAATATTTGAGATATCTAAATTTAATTTATTTCAAAGATAAATTAATAAAACTATATAGAAGTAAAAAGAAATGAGTTATGAATGTAATATAATATTATTATAGACGTTGAACTTCAATTGGACGCATTTGATTAGGTTCGAAAAATGGTGCTTCAATTTCTAATTGTCCATCAGCATTTAAAAATGATCGAAGTTGATCAACTTTTGTACCTGGTGGTAATGAAATAGATTTAGTTAGAAACGAACGTTCCGAACGATTATTATCATTATAAGTATTTTCAGCTTGTACAATTAATTCATCATTTTTTACTGAAACTTTAATTTGTTCGGGTCGATAATTTTTAACTGCTAGAGCCATTTTTAATTGTTTTTGTCCATTGATATTCGTATCAATAATACGTGGACGAAAATCAGATGAACCAATAAAACCAGCATAATCAAATATTGGATCACGATATTGACCAAATTGAGCAAGTGTATTAGTATCAGCAAGTGTTTGAGATAAACGACGTTCAATATGTGGATGAGTAACAGGTACTTCAACAACAAGCATATTGTTAGGTGTAACAAATGAAGCTAAATTGTTTGCATCTAAGAAATACAAAAAATAAATTAATAACATAAGATAAAATGAATTTTTTACGAACCAGCATGTTCAGGAAGATCGTATGTCTTTCGTATTTCACGTATACTATAGTTACCATCACCTTGACGATCTTCTTGTTTAGCTTCGACAATTACTTTTCGACCTTCAACTCTTGTTTTAATACTTTCAGGAGTAAATCCATCGACATTTAATTGAACACGAAATTTCTCCGAAAGAGCTGGCGTTGTTATAGTTGTCAGAGGAAGGAGTGTATTACCACTACCAGAATTACCTGATGTTGTATGAAATGATGATGATGATGTTGATGACGAACGATTTAAACGATGTGGTTGATTAATCCATCGAAATGGACTTGATGCAGTTGATAAAGTTGTTGGAAATGTATCAAAATCACGCCATGGATCGAATAAGTGTAGTTGATCATCAAAGAATCGATCATGTGGATCATTGAATACTCGATAGTGTGTTATGGGAAAATGAGACATTTTTTCACTTAATATACGAAAAATAAATCAATAAATAATATATGTTATGATATATACTAGCAATATTTATATATGAAATATGCTGGGGGTGGTAGTTGAATGGCGATGTTTCGAGAGTATTCGAGAGAGAGAATATGGGTATTTATGTTCTTTTTTTTCCATTTTGGTATCAGAAACGGGATATTAAATAACTACTATTGAGGCGTTTATGATGAAAGAACAAGAATAACCACGCATACAACGCGGTTTGATATGTAGAAATAAGACATAAGTTGGCACATGTAGGCGTGATGGATGTCAAAGTTACAGCTACAAAGAAAGTGGTCGATTCGTTTATAGATATACTGTTACATATAATTCTAAAGAAACATTGTACTTACAATATTTTCCTACTTGAAATTTATTAATCATCTATACAATATAATCATAATGTAAAATAAAATATGTCTTACACTCTCTGGACCTGAGAATTTACCATGTATAAAAATAAGTATAATAATAGGATATTAATCATTATAGATTATTCTGTCAACAATAGAGGACACTTAGCAACTTTATCTGTAGATATTTCAAGTTATAGTATGTTTGTTGTTATCAATCATCTTAACACCTTTTTTATTATATTGAATAAATTTATTGCTTACTATAAAACATATATTTATGAAATTCAAATATAGACAGTAAATCTAATTAATTGAATCTATTGATTTTGACATACGATAAAATATTTGATAAAAAAATTAGTTATCAATAATTATCATTTGAAATATAATTTATTTTTCAAGTAAAAACTTATTCTCAATTAATCAAAGAATGAAATACACATTTTTTTTTGTCAAGAATATACAATAAAACAACAAATGAATCGCTGTTAATTTAATTATCTTTTTCAATAAAATATTTTATGCATGTTTACTGGTAGATGAAGATTTATTGTCGTTCGGTTTTGTAACTGTTCCAGATGATGTATCTGCATCTGATGAGCCCATATTAACGTCTTCAAATGGTCGTGCACAAACCACATCACGGCGACTTCTAATTGCGAATAAAGCGGGTGGTTCAGTTGCTGAAATAACTGAAAGAAAAAGAACAAAATAGTTGACTTTTTTGTGTAATAGAAAATAGATGAAACCATACAAGAAGCCGCTAGCGGTGTATGACTTAGTTTTTGAATCACATTGGGAGAGAGATCGTTTCGTTGTTCTAAGCATTATTAAAAATAAATAATCGTTTCATAATTAAATGAAGCAAGAAAATAAGCTTTTAGATAAATTTAGCTTTAATAATAAATACCAATAGTAGACTGCGTTTTTATTTCGAAACTCGCATACTCTGTTGTTTCTTCTTTGATTGTAGAAGATATTGGTAAGTCCTTCTTACTTTCATCGTTGATATTCGATGATTGATTTGAAATATTATCTGAATTCCCTGAAGAATTTGGTGCTGTTGCTGATGATGATGATGCCATATCTAAAATTATTGAATGTGTCATATATATTCGATATCTAATCTTATATAGAAATAATTTATTTAGTTTGAGTCATGATGAGTCGTGTTTATCATAAATGTCAAATATAAGAATTTCATCATAGAGTACGCTACAATCAATATGATCTAGTACGAATAAAATTTGTATTTCTTTATATTTATTTTTATATTTAATTTTCTTTCCAATCATTTAATAAAATCAAAAAAGAATTGAATTTAATATTACTAGTTTAATAAAAAAACCAATCCGAAGCAATCAGATGATGTTTTCTATTCTTGGTTGGATATTTACTTTTTTTTTATAGCCTTTTAGTCTATTCATATCATTCTTGTATACTACATACAAGAACAAAATTTTGTATTACAATATCTTATCGTTGCCGTTATCGGCATTTATATACAGTTGTATGAGAACAATGAAAACTCGAGTAATAATAAACAGTATGAGAATAGGCATAACAGATTGTGCTCGTTATGCGAATTATGAAAGATGGTTTTTAGATGCCCCTGAAAAAGTTGATATTATTCGTTTATCCTATCATTTAAATAATCTTGGTGATGTTGAAAAATGTCAAGGTATTGTTTTATCTGGTGGTGAAGATGTTGATCCACGTCGTTATAAACGGCCAGATCTTGTTGGACGTGTAGAATTTACTGATATTGATGAAAAACGTGATGATTTTGAAATACAAGTTATTAAACGTTCATTACAACTTAAATTACCTATATTAAGCATTTGTCGAGGTGAATTTTATTTATAGAAAATTTCATTTTATTTTTATTTTAATTCTTATTTAATTCATAGGTATGCAATTATTTAATGTTTATCATGGTGGTACATTGATCTATGATATTCCTACAGTTACAAAAATTGATGGTCATGCTAAAATACAAGGTATGCATTTGTTTATCTTCATTTTGAGATAAGAAATGTTTCGTTTATTTTATAAACCGTATCATTAAATTTTATACTGTTTACTCTTTGACCTTTTAGGAATAGATCAACGTCATGAAATACTTGTTGGAGAAAAAACTCTACTTAATGAAATAACTGGTTGTGTCAAAGGTGCTGTTAATTCATCACATCATCAATGTGTAGAAAAACTTGGTGCAGAATTGGAAGTAGCTGCTACAGCTGAAGAACCTATTATTGAAGCAATACAATGGAAAAATGCAAATGAAAATCCATTTTATTTAGGCGTTCAAGTATAATAGAAAAAGAAAGCACAAATGTTTGTTTCATAGAATATCTTTTTCTTTGTATATTTAGTGGCATCCGGAACGAATGGTTGATCAAACAAGTCCTTTTTCATTTAATATTCGTCAAGCATTTTTAGATTACATTGTTAAACATGAAAAACCATTATCAAATGATACAAATGAAAAAGATGAATCAATAAATAATAATGAAATTGAAAATAAACCACCACCACAAATAATAGACAATAAATAAATAAATTTTCTTACAACAATTTCCATAACTTACTACAGTGATAGACATGAATAAAACTTGTTTCAACATTCACATCTAGATTATTTGATGTTCTTACTTCTTTAATTTAATCATAATATTATCTGATCTAATGACAGTCACACATCTTACCTCTATATAATAAGCTTGTATTAATCAGCTCGAATTTTTATTTCCATTTTGTATCTTTATTAGACATAGTTGTTATTGATTAGAATTCTGTTTTCTTCGTTTGACCCTGTAATATCCTTCTTGCATGTGTAGATGTATTGTATGATTGTGTGTTGATAAATAGTCAGATTTTTACTAATGAAAAACGTAAGTTGATGTTTGTTATTTTGTGTTTGAAAGTTTTTTTGATACATTTATTTAATCTCGCTTTTACATCTTATATTTATCCGTTATTTTTCGTACTTTTAGAGTTTTATGCTATTTATTGTTAATGTTCTTCTTTTTTTTTTTGTTTGTTTAACGAAACCGAAACATATGCATAGACACTGATTATAAAAAATACAAGTGCACTTTTTAGATATGTGAAATAAATGAATATAACAAAAAAAAAGAGATAAATTCGACCAATGATTTTATTTAAAAATGCTCTATAGTATCATTACGAATAACTAGTTTTAGTAATATACAGAATTCATTTCTCAGTACAAATTCTAAAATATATTGATGATTATTAAAATTGCAAACAACAATAAAGATATCATTTTTCTATTTTGTTCGTTTAGCGCTTTGAATGCGAAATACCATAGTGATCGATTGGTTTGTTTATTATATATTAAATTCCATTATTTTCTTTTTCATTCCTCTTCGCTATTTATAATTTAATACTATTTGTGGGCAACGAAACAGAAGAACAACAATCTATACAATACCATATTTGCAAGTTTTGGTACCTAACAAACATACTGTTATAAACAACAGCGATAGAGGGTGTCGGTAGGATGTAAATAAATATATTTCTTTCGTGCATTAAAATAAATACACTTTATAACCTGATGTCTTTTTTTACCTGATTACATATATAGTTAAGAATATTATATAGATACACACCTTGATGTCCATTCGTACGATTATATATAAAGAAGAGAGTGGAGAAAAAAGTACGAATGACGTAGTTTTTGAATATATATATTAATATACAGTAAAAGATTGAAATAAATAATTCTATTTTGTTTTAACTTGTATATTTTTATTAATGTTTTTTTTTTCTGATTATATTATATCCTCCAAGAGTTAGAAATTAAAGTTGAAATTTTATCGTAAGTATACCAATGTTCCATATCATTCTTTTCATTCACCGATAAGCAAATGTAATTTGATTTTTCGTCTCGTATCAAAGTGAATTATCCATCATTATACTAGAGGTCATTTATTGTGAATATTGTGTCCGACATTAAGAACATATTATATACATATCTAACGAGTTAGTCGATCCCTTTTTTAGTTCTCCTTGATATTATTAGAGTGACGCAACAAAATCAAAGAATTATTTTATATATATACTTTTGTATTAGTCGCCTATATATATATATATATCAAACATTTATGTCACGTAAGCAAATCAATTTCTTTTTTTTTTCTGTCATGTAGTTTTTCCATGCTGAACCTATCAATGCCGATGTCCCCAATAATGTATATAAGCCTGTTCGACCTTGGAACGAGAGAAACAGAATCTACCTCTTGTTTTTTTTCTCTTTTTTCCTCTTTTTTTTCTCCTTTTCTACACATTGCCTTGTAAATCCTTTCGTCGTCGTTGTGAGTTGCACAATAAAACCCCAGACGTTTTTTCTCGTATTCTTTCGTTCTTATACTTCTAACACAAGGTCAATTGTCAAATAACATAGGCGCATGTGTTTGTCTGCGTGTTGTCGACGCGACGAGTTGTTCTTCGGAGAGGTTTTTTGGCTGTCGCTTAGGACGAAAAGAGATAAAATAAAAAAGACGAGAGAGAGAGAGAGAAAGAATGAGAAGGAGAAAAAGAAAATATTTTTGCTACTGCCTGTCTGTTGGCATTCGATTCTCGTCGGCGTTTGGTTGAAAAGGGGAGGAAAAAGAGAAAAAAACAGAAGAACTAAAAAAAGGGCCTTAGCGCCCTGGCCAATTGGCCATCGATCGACTGACCAACATAACAACGTCGTAATCGAGTAAGTTCTCTAGCAAAGATACTGAATAATTCAATTATTCTTTACAATTTAATTTAAACAATATACTAAATTTCTTTTTTGTTTTAATCAAAATTTTTCTAGATCATCTACCATCCAATAAATAACAAAAAAATGAGTGATAAAATATTGAAAATTGTTGGTCGTTACATCTACGACAGTCGTGGTAATCCGACTGTTGAAGTCGATCTTTGGACAAGCAAAGGTATAGAAACATAATTCTTCTCTTTAAAAACATAGAAAAAAAAAGGCAGAAAGATTTTTTTTTCTTTTTTTTTCTTTATAAAAGTCAAAAAATTTATATATGACAAAATAAGACCTTAATATTTATTGGTTAACATTTCATATCAGTGTCAAAATAATGATTTATCTTTGTTTTATTGTATTATATATATATAAAAAAAAAATCATCTGTTTTAATACGTAAAATGTTTTCATTAAAATCAAAAAAAAAATTATTTAATACAGAATGAAGAAGAAAAAGAAAAAAGAATAATATTGGAATATTTTGTCAATGACCTTGAAAGCCGAGATAATATATGTTGCAAGCTTAGTTATGTATCGTGTTTGCCCTTTTCTTCTTTCGGAAATGACTAAAAGCTATTGTTAGGCTTATCCAGACAGGAAAAAAATAGATGCTAACCAGACATCTTATAGATGAGTCATTTATTGTGAAATAATCTGGTGAAATTCGATGGAAATATTCTCTTAGTAAAATATGCTATTTTCCAGGCCTCTTCCGTGCTGGTGTTCCATCGGGTGCATCAACTGGTGTTCATGAAGCTCTTGAATTACGTGATGGAGATAAAAATGTACACATGGGCAAAGGTAAATAATGCAATTATTCTATATTCATAAATAAATGTAAATTATATAATTTCTATAGGTGTTGAAAAAGCTGTAGCTAATGTACAAAAGTTGGGTGAATTAATTGTTAAAGTTCGTTAATAATTTATTAATATTTAAAAATTTTATTAGAAAAAAAAATGATTTATTTATTATTTAGAAAGGCTTTGAAGCAACTCAACAAAAAGAAATTGATGATTTTATGATTCAAGAAGATGGAACAGATAGCAAAAGTATATTATTTTATCTATATAATCATATAATTACATTTATCATGTAGAAAAATATGGTGCCAATGCTATTCTTGGTATCTCAATTGCTGTTTGTAAAGCTGGGTAAATCTTTTAACACATATCTATCTGCATTTGATAAATTTTATGATCATTATTATCTTTAATTTTATAGAGCAGCCCATAGTAATTTACCATTATATCAATATATTGCTAAACTTTCAAATTCCAATATTCGTTTACCAGTACCTGCTTTCAATGTAATAAAAATTTATTTTTACGATTTATTTCGAATTTTTTTCATCTATTAGGTTATTAATGGTGGTAGTCATGCTGGTAATAAATTAGCCATGCAAGAATTTATGCTTTTACCAGTTGGAGCTAAAACATTCAAAGAAGCTATGCGTATGGGTTCAGAAGTTTATCATCATTTAAAAACTTTGTAAAAATTTATTTCTAATATTTACAAATGTTATAAAAAGGAAAAATTAAATTTTTATCTAGAATTAAAGCTGAATATGGCCTTGATGCAACTAATGTTGGTGATGAAGGTGGTTTCGCACCAAACATCGAAAGTGCTGAAAGAGGTAATAAAAATTTGTTTGAACATTTTATTTATTTAAAATATTTCTAGCACTTGATATTATTGTCCAAGCTATTGAAAAGGCAGGTTATACAGGTAAAATAAAAATTGGTATGGATGTTGCAGCTAGTGAATTTTTTGATGAACAAGAAAAGAAATATGATTTAAATAACAAAGAAAAAGGACGACCACATTGGGTAAATAAGAAATAAAAAAAAGACTAAATAAATTTAATTATTTTTTTTTTTAAGTTAACAAACGAACAATTAGTTTCATATTATCTTAGTCAAATTGAAAAATATCCAATAATATCAATTGAAGATGGTTTTGATCAAGATGATTGGACTGGTTTTGAAACGCTTCTTACTGCTGTTAAAGGTCGTAACGTACAACTTGTCGGTGATGATCTAACGGTAACAAATGTAAAACGAATTCAATTAGCTATTGAAAAGAATGCATGTGATTGTCTTCTACTCAAAGTTAATCAAATTGGATCAGTTACAGAAGCCATTGCGGCGTAAGATTTGTTTTTCATTTTCTTAAGTAAAAAGATTCAATTATTTGTAGATGCACCATGGCTCGTGGTGCCGGCTGGAGTGTTATGGTTAGCCATCGAAGTGGTGAAACTGAAGATACATTCATTGCTGATCTTGTCGTTGGCTTAGGCACCGGACAGGTTTATTTCAATATTTTAGTTTACTTAACACGTTATTTCTTTCTTTTTTGGAATAAATAGATCAAAACCGGAGCACCATGTCGTTCAGAACGTTTAGCCAAATACAATCAATTATTACGTATTGAAGAAGAACTTGGTAATAATGCTACATATGCTGGCGAGGATGCATTCAAAAAGAATTAGACGTTCAATATTAAATATCCATCGATAATTCTATCAAAAATAAATCATTAGCTTATTATTCCTCACTCATTCACTTTCATTCAAATATTTAGAACAGTGTCTTGTTTGTTTGTTTTTCTTTTGCTTCATTTTAATCATTTCGTTCTTTTTCTTTTTTTTTTCTTTTTCATTTGGTGTGATGTTCGTCTGTCTGTCTATCTTATTTTCTCAAGTTTGTTCTTTTTTGAAAAACGGGCAAGAGTGTACTTCCCGGTGTTTGGCTGTACAGAGAGATCAGTGAGGACACACACAATTAGTTTATTCTATTCATAAATTGTTCCCACAGGAGTCTTTTTTTCTGACGTTATTCGATTTTATTTTTTATTTCAAAAAAAAAACTTAGATTTATGCTTATTCTTTTCAGTTTCATTTCTTTTTGTTTGTTTCACTTTTACTTACCCATGCGCGTTTATGTTCTAATATATTGTCTTTATTAAATGTCTTTAAAAAAAATTATTAATAAGTATTTACAAATCTTAGAAAACCTTGGAATTAGAAAATGATGAAATTTCTTCATATGAAGCGATTGATAGTATTCTTGAAATTTTCAGTTATTTTTACTAATTTATATTTAATGGATATTATTCTTATCTAAAATGATATCATCAAATGTTACAAGAAAAATGTCGATTGATAATGATAAATTATGGAAAACAGAAATTATTATACGAATAACAAGTAAACAGAATTTGAATACAAGTGCTCAAGGTGATTGTCTCTATCTACCTTTGATATCAGTGATTTCTAATAAAATTTCTTATGATGCTACTAATGATAAGAACGAACATTTCGAATATATATGACAGATAATTGTTTTCAATCGTATTCAATGCGTAACGTACAGAAACAAAATCCAATATGTTATTTAACATCACCATCATCATTTCTACTTCTGTTGTATAAAAGTCGATTATTCATTAAATTGTTTATCAATATCATCACGTATACGACGATAAAATTCATTTCGATGTTCTTTATATAATAAAGCAGCTTCAGGATTTGCTGGACTATTTGCATTTGGTTCATTTAATAAACTACGAATTGAAATTAAAATTTTTTCTATACTCATAACTTCACTCCATTGATCTTGCAGTATATCAATACATATATCTCCATTTTTATAAATATTTGGATGAAATATTTCAGTTTTAAAACGAACTTTTGGAGGTTTAACTGGATAATGACATGGAATAGAAAGATGTAATTCGTATAAACCACCTTCATAAGGTGTATCATCAGGTCCTGTTATAAATGCTAGCCATTCGAATAGATTTGATTCATTTAATGGTATTGCTGTAACACCATCTTGAAGAGTTAATGATTGAATTTGAAGCAGATCTTTTAAGAGACGTTTTTTAGCTATTTTACAATCGTCATCGTTCGAATAGATCATTAAATGATCCTTTTTTTTACAAGAAAAAATAAATAAATAAATAATAGAATTATGTTGCTATGTATTTTAATCGAAATTTTTATTGATATTATATGTCGATTAATAAATTAATATGATCATTAACAAGAGAATCAAAGATTTAACATGAACTATTTTTGACGTGGCTATTAATCATCTTGAACTAAAATATTCTCTATAATTATTGTTTTGAAATCATTCCATTTCTAATAAAATAACCTATATATCAGATCTCTACTTCGGTGGACACTGCTAAATTAACATTATATCAATCAGAAAAAAATATATTATTTCATAAATTATGCAAAAACTTTCTCCATTTCAAAAGATGGAACCCAAAAAAAATTTTTAAAAAAACTATCATCAGTTTCGCATTCTCCATCCTTGATTACTTTTTAGTCGTATTTTATGTGTAACAGTCCCGTTGGGTTTTACCGTTTTTTCGGACCAATCTGAGTAGTGTGGATAGGCAAGCAAGCAAATAATTTATTTTTGCAAGGCTCTTCTTTACGAAAAAAAATGATTAGAATAGAATATATTTCTACAAATTAAGCTGCTTGCTGAGACTCTTGAACATGATTGAAACGCATCGTGATCATGCTCGATTCACACACAAGACGGGGTTTGTACAGATCCTAGATGGCCAATAAATAACACTTTTTTAACGAGAATGTTTTTGGGTTAATTTATCAAATAATTTATAATCTGGTTTATTTATTTAACAAAATAGATGTTTTGTGTTAGTATGTAGTTTTATTCATATTATTTGTGGTTTCGATATAGTTAGTAATTTGTAAAGAATAGTTCATATTTTTGATTTTCTGAGTTGAAGTTGTCAAAAATCAACTTGGCCAAGTCTTTGCAATTTTCTAAGCCCGGATGGTAGTTGACCATAAGACGGCTTTCGTCGTATATATACTTTACCACATCTCTGATGGTTCCTTTCCCATCAGCCTTGACTAGACATTCGGGTTTGTCCATATGCACGAGAGTACGTCTGGGCTCTTGATGGTATTTATCACGAACATATCTTAATTTCTTGGATCGTTGCATCGTAACACATTTTTCTGACGTTTCCAGTGAGTAGTACCATTCCTCAGTTTCAAATACTAGAAACGCGTGATAAAGGAACTTATCAGCTGGTGGAATTAGTACCAGCGGCGACGCATATACAGCAATCCATAAGATCTTGTCGGGTTCACTTCCAGTAATCTCATCAAACTTTTGAAGAAGATCATCATGGGGAATCCAGTATGTACTGCCTGTCTCGGAGTCGGATTTTGGATCAAAAAACAGAAATCCAACGTTTTTTCTGTGTTCAGCTATGGCGTTCACCGAGCTCACCGAGCCCATAGTTTTCCACTAATAAATTGATCTTATCAGATATTTGAATAGGATAAATTGAGGGTGTGTGTGCAAGTTTGTGTAGAACAACGAGAACAATAACAGAGATAGAAAAAACGGTAGGAATACGATACATATACATATATATACAGGATCACGATAAGGAATGTTCCAACGTCATCAGAGAGAATATACCGATATGTATATCTCTAGACGTATTGGATAATACCTACAATAAGAATAAAATTGCATATACTTGTTGAAAATATTATATTTCATTTACTCACGCAAACGAATGTAAATGTGGACAAATCCAAGCAAGATCAATGAGTCATAATGAAGTATGTTTCGTTGGTTGCTGTCTATTCAAAGCTACTGTCATGGTTGATTAATTTCATAAATCCATCTATGTTGGAAGAAACCAAATTACTTTTATCAACTATAGACAAGTAACGTTCTTCCTCGTAGAAACAGCGTATCTTGGGTGTGGATGTGGATACTGTATTCGTCTAACATCCACCCTATATATTGAATTGCATAGGTGGAACTACATGATAAAATATATTTGATATGAATATATCAAAACATAACTTATATACTATTCCTTTTGCATACAATGACAACTATAGTTTTATAATCTAAATATAAACAAAAATGAATTTATTATTTATGAATAATCATTGACATCAATTGTTTTATTTATATTCTTTGATAATTAAAATATTAAAACCAAAGTGCAAAAAAAAAGAATGAATTCTATAGTTTTCGAAGATATATGCAGTCGGTGATTATGATTCATATTTCGTTAAAATGATAAATATTGTAAAGTATATTATTGTGCCAAATTTTCTAGTAATTAAACTCTTTGTTTTATATTTCGTTCTGAAAAAAAATGTTGCTCTGGCAGATCAATGTTATCATTAATCCGCATATTTTCGTCATTGCAACATATATTTGATCAGTCAAGATCATTTACCTCTTAATAAGTTGTAATAAGCGACTTTTCCTGATAATCGATGATGCGCGATATTTCTTTTGTCTTTCTAAATATTTCATTAACAAAACACAATAGAAAAGAATCATTCAAATATTATAGATTATCTACCTTTTTTTTATTAATTATATCATTTATTCACGAGTCTAAAGCATAATAAGCATCATGGTTTATGACAACAAATGTTCCAATATAATATTTTCAGACTGAAATTATTATTTCGAAAAACTATTTGTTTTAGTTTTACAATCTTTACTATTGGTTTTTAATAACACAATAGACAAGAAATAAATATATGTGGATGATTGACAGAATTCTAAAAGAATTGGTTTTTACTCTTCAATAGATTCATCAAATATTCAATATACTTAAAAAATAGATGAGTTTTGTTATTGAATAACAAAGTTTCTAAGTTTGAAAACCTAATACTTGAATAAACTCTAGGTAAAATGTGTAAAGACATAGTAGATGTCGTTATCTACATACTGTCGAGATAAGTTGCTTATTACAAACTTACCAAGAGGTAAATAATCTTAATATGATTAAATACATGTTGCGATGACGAAAAATGCGCGGATTAGTGGTAACATTGATCTGCCAGAGCAACATTTTCTTATAAAAATAGTAAAAGAAATTCGTATATTACATAAGAATTAGTTATTGACTATTTATTAAATTATGATTTGACAATAATTTCTTGAAGATTATTAAAACTAATATGCAACATATCCATACTTCGTTTTTCTTTTAATCATTCAGATTATATCTAACAAAACCAAATTACGACTACAACAATCAAGTTTTTTGAAAATATTTCGGTTAGATTTCGTTTGAACTGATAGTACTAGATTATGTGAGTATAAGAGAATGTTAACTTCAGTAATTGTTCCAGTTTGCAAGAAAACTAGTTTCTATTGATTTTATCATCAATGAGTTGGAATGAATTAAATATAGAATTCTCTTAAAAACAATATATTTAAGATCATTTTCTCATAGTTTACTTTGGCAAAAGAAGCATTAATTGATTTAAATTGAAAGGATTCAAGTACATATGGATTTATATTTGTCATTATCAGCGATTATATAAGATAATATTCAGATATACATAATGTAACTAATATATGGCAAGTTATTCGTTTTTCAAAGACTCTTTGGTAATTAAATACAATTGGAACTCATTTGAAATACATAAATAGAAAAAATTTCTCTTTTGCTTGTTAATTGATGATAATATAGAGTTGACAATCTTTAACAAGAATTTTAGATGTCAATTTCTTATCAATAAATAAACTAACTATTAAATTATCTCTCTATTATTCATTAGATCATTCAAAGTTGTATCATAATTGAATTCTATCTTGTAAGACTTTTATAATATATTTTCATATAAGTTAAATAACTTATCTTTTAAAATTAAACGATTAATAACTTATCGATACGTGTCCGATGAGACGCATGAATTAGATTTTATATTTATATCATCAACAATGTTGACAACGCGATAGAAGAAATATTACTGATATATATTCTTACTATTGCATAATAAAAGTACACAACCAAAAAATAATTCATTATATAATTAGATTTTTTCATTTATTATTATTCTGATTAAATTTTTTGAAAAGAGTGTTACTTTAAAGAACTAATGCTATTGTATTGATTCATCTCTTTCTTATCATAATTCTAATAAGTATTTGTTTCTGAAAAACAAGAGAGATATATCATCTCTAGTTAGACTTTACATATTGTACTCAAATAATAGAAAACTAATAAAAAGTGTAGGTATGGCTTGGAAGTGAGTACTATCATCACCTCAGATTTACATTCTCAAGATATTTTCTTGAATTTGTGTATATCGATATGAAGCATTTGCTTTTTGAAATCTATAAATAATACTGTTTGTTATAGAAAAACAATACATTGGAAATCTCTGTACTGTATATTAATCTCTTGATGCTTTCGGTCAGTACTTTTATGTGTGAATGAGTGTATAAGTGTCATATTTAACTTATACTCATATTCAAACATATTGTCCTATTTATTCCTTAGGTACATGAGAAATAAAATAGTTTATATCTTCCATGCTATTTAAGAGTTTTTCGAATTTTTAAAGATTAGTGAAAGTCAGTATCCTCGATATGTTCTCTAAAGGTGGAGAACATTCTAGCTGATACTAGCAATTCATTTTTATTATTCATCTGCACTCTTGAGAATTCGTAACTGTATGGAATTGTTTGTATTTCACAATACTCTTTTACCCAGTAGAATATGTTTTTCTTTCTCATTTCATCATTATTTTATTATGAAGTATTCAAATTTCTTTCATTACAATGAATTGTTTTTTGTCCCATTCCTCTTTCTCGGATTTTTCACTTTAAACTTTTTGCGTCGTTCGAAGAAAAAACAAAAAAAAACAGGTAGGAGAAGACATAATAATTGTAGAGTCGAGTATTTGCATAATTAACTCATGAATCATTCGATAAAAAAATACACATTGTGAAGCATACTCAATAACTGATTATTGCAATTTTCTCAGTTCCTCCCATTTCAACAATTTGATTTTGGTAAGTTAGTGATGTAAATGATTTTAGCAATAAAATAGAGTATTTTAAATATCATTTATTCTATTAAAATATAAGAAAGTATTAAAATAGATTTTATTTTATTTTTAATGATTAGTTTTTCTTTGAAAGCTAATTCATAAATATATAAAAAAGATTTTCGTTTGCAAATTCTGATAACGCTAACACATTGTAGAATGATCTTTCTTGACAGTTTCTGTATGATTTCTATTTGAGGGCGTGGATGTGAAATAAAAACAACGTCCACACCTACACCCTATATTTAGTATTTTACTAAAATCTTCAAATTAAAATACATATTTTTATACTAAGATAAATTTTATCACCCTAGTTCTATAACTATAGAAACAAAAGCGCAGAATTTTTGAACAAAAGTCAATGAGATAATAGAAAAAAAACTTTTCTAGCCAATTCTATTTTTATAAATTAATAAGTCTTTGATTAATCTAATTAACTGAAACTATTTGCTAAAGAAAAAACAATATTATCAATACTTTTGAAAATGATCAACATATTTATAACATTAAATAGAGAATTGTAAGATGATCTTAGTAGAATCAAAGTCTAGGTCGAAGCTTTATCATCAAGTCAAATATTTTCGAGTAGGTAGGATAAATAAGATAAACCTACAACCTCACCCACACCCACACCCTTAATCATGATGAATCACAAACATTTTCTCATCATTTTCATTAGAGGCAAGAAGATCGACAAAAAATGGCGAAAAGAAATGCACCAATAAAACCAGCACCATCAGACATTCAACCACTTGTTTCATCACCGCGTGCGTCAGCTATGGTGAATGAAATAGACCCGCAAACTAGCGCCGTAATACAAGCACAGACATCAGCAGCACCCATACCTGGTAATACTTCAGAACAAGGGCGTGACGCAAAAAATCAACATTCGTTAACATCCGATCGAAAAAATAAGAAAAATATCCGACCACATATATCTGATCCAATTCAATCTACGTTGAAACACGTTGGTCATATTGGTACAAAAGATAGATTTTTTAATGATGAATCTCAAAGACAAGTGTACGAACAAGCACACATATCAGGAGTATCCGTTCCTACTAATACTCCAAAAACAGCGAGTAATGCAAAAAAACCAGGTTGTTTACCATTTTGTCGAAGAAGTAAGAAAAATAATGGACGAGAGGTATCTGCATCCGTCCCTGCTAATACTCTAGAAATAAAGAGTAATTCAAAAAAACCAGGTTGCTTACCATTTTGTCGAAGAAGTAAGAAACATAATCGACGAGAGGTATCTGCACCAAATCCGTCTACCTTGCCTCATGTTGCTCATAGTGGTACAGAAGATAATTCTCATAATAAAGACTGTCAAAAACAATCATCCGAACAAGTATCATCTAGTCTGAGTACATCAACAGAAGGTAAGTTATTTGTTCTAAAAATAGTAAATACAGATGGTAGTTTGCAAAACCTTTTAGCTAAATCAGGGGCATCTGCACGTGATATTAATAATCAAGGACAACAATCAATGGCCAGTGGTGCACCGGAAATTCCACTACGTAATTATCCAACAACAGGTCGAAGTATTGCTGGTCAAGCTCCACATCGAGATATATCTGCACCAATTCAAGCTACCTTGAATCACGTTGGTCATATTGGTACAAAAGATAGTTTTTTTAATGATCATTCTCAAAAAAAATTATACGAAGATGTATTATTTAATCTGGGTATATCAACAGAAGATAAATTGTACGTTCGAGAAATAATAAATACAGATGGTGGTTTGCAAAAACGTTTAGCTAGTCAGTATTATATATTCTATTTGTTTACAGAAAAAAATCTTGATTATTTTTCTAGAACCAGAAGTATCTGTGCGTGATATTAATAATCAAGGACAACAACCAATGGCCAGCGGTGCACCGGAGATTCCACCGGAGATTCCACCACGTGATTATCCAACAACAGGTCGAAGCATCGCTGGTCAAGCTCCACATCGAGATATACCTGCACCACCGCCTATTCGTAATCAATCGAATACAAATCGTTCTCAACCATTACAAGGAAAATTTCAAAATAATAGTGATTCAAGAGAAGGTGAATAGTCTAATTAATCAAAATTACTTTTTGATTTTCTAAAGCACATTGAATCATTTCATACAATCCATTCATCATTCATTGATATTTTGTTTCTAAAATACCTCGAAAATCTTACTTTTATTTCTTTATTAGCCTGTTTTCTTCTTTTAATAACGATGGTACTTTTTTTTACTATGTAAGGTGATTAGAAAAACAAAAACTATAAAACAGTTGTCCTTGTATTCGTGCTATTTTCATTCATTACTTAATATATACCTGTTTGGTTTTTTTTTGCTTTTTTTCATATTATTCGAGTTCTTGTTTTTGTTCTTATTCTTCGTTTCATGTCACATATACATACATTTACGTATAATACGTGCGCGATTTGTCTTTGTTTATTTCTGATGGTGCAAAAATAAAGAACAGTGAATCCGCGAAAAAAAGATCTCCTACGATTAAATACATGTTGCAGTAACAAAGTTGTGCAGATCGGTGGCAATACTGATCTTCCAGAGTAACACTTTGTATTAAATAAATAAAAAGATAATGTCGCGAAAGAAGAGAACCACTTTAAGTCAGAATATGCAGTATTAACTTGTCCTATGAAAAAGAAAAGATTTTCAATGACTTTCTTTAATGAACATAGAATATTAAATGGTAAGAACATGTTGATAAAAAGTGCTTAATATCGTAATACATCAAGATGAGATCTTTATAGTACGTAGCAGCACCATCGGAGACAATGGGTTGTGTAGAATCAAAATTAATAATAGTATGTCGGCATCAATAGCATTTAGTTCTGATGTAGTATTTGCCATTAGTTTTAATTAACAGAAAATAAAATTTCTATATGAGACTGGTGTGAGTGTGGGTGTGGATACTGTTTTCACCTACCATCGATAGCCACACCCACATCCACACCCTCAAATTCCAAACAAATTACTCTTGACATAAAACTATATTTAGTGTGTATTGTTTTCATTAGTAAAAAGTTTAAATGAAATGATTTTCTAATGTCAACAGGTAGATAGCGCTAAAAATATCATTTTATTATGTCGAATTCTGTTATATTTCGTCCCGAAATTTGATTCTTGTTATGTAGTAAAATCAAATAATATATTCAATAGAATGTATGTCGAATACAATGATTACTTGTCGTCGTCTTTGTTATTGTCGAAAGTCAAAATCACGTCCTATTACAACAACAACAATAATCAACAATGAATCTTCATCATCACCAAAAGATAAAAAAGTTTCGAATAATCAATTAATAAACGAAATCATGTCAACATCAAAATTTAAAAATAAAATTCAAAGTGACATTGATTTAGATCGTTTAACAAAGCAATATCTCGAAACAATAAATGAATATCGTCTTCAACTAGGATTTCCATCACTTGAACTCTCTTCGGAACTTACCAATCGAGCACTTGATCGAGCGATACAATTATCGGTTCAAAATTATATAGAAAACACCACTCAATTTAATCTTATTCATAATAGTGAACCTATCGGAGAAACGTATGAAAAATTCAGACGATATTTTTAGTATGTCTTTTGTTTTATAGAGTCATGTCTTGTCAAGCACCTGTGAATGATGGTTCAGATATTGCTAGATTAATACATGATGAACTTATTGATGATTTTGAAAATGATCAATCGTCGAAAGTAAAGAAATGATTGATAGAACAACTGATATTTATTTTCTTGTTTTTTCAGATACGTTACACACCAATATTAAATCCCGATTGTAAATATATTGGTTTTGGTCTTGTTCGTAATGAAGAAAAAACAAAAGATTTTATTGTTATTTATTACTATCCAGTCAAAGAAAATGAAGATTATATTACAAAATAGCTGATGTAAATCGTTGTACATAAAAATCAAATAATTGAGATACAGAATGATTTGTTTTTTTAAATATCTGTCGTAAACATTGAAGTAAAGTTATGTGTACAAGATGATATGAATAAGAAGCTGTATTTATTTTTGATTTCATTGTTATATGACTTAAATCATATAGAGACCAATTTGAAATATTTGGATGAACATAATATGGAAGCATATGTTGTAATGAAATAATTATTTGATTTATTAATTCAGATAAATATGGTTGATAATCAATCGTATTAGCATCAATGATACCAATTAAGGCATAAAGACATCCATTAAGAACAAAAAGACCTTTAGTTGATGATTCTAATGGATATTCTTCAAGCCAAAGAAAACGATTGTTAAAATAAGCTCGAGTCAGATTTGATGACCATAATGGTTGAATAGCTCGACGAATAGCTAATAGATGTTCCTTGTTATTTGTTAGTGAATAGAGACGAACGAGTAATGATGCAGCTTGACCTAAATTTCGAAGAAAAATATTAGTTAATAATTTTTATACTAACAAAATAAACCTTGTGCCATTGCTGAACACCATGGATTTCGTAAATGATACTGAGTATGATGACCATAATTTCGTCGAACATGAATAAACCAACAACCTGTTTGTAAATCTTGATTATTTAATAACCATCGTGTTGCTGAATAAAATGCTTGTTGATCATACAAAGTTTGATTACCAATAATTAATTGAGTAACGCTAGATTGTGTATCACCACAAATTTGAATTTTGATGAGATCACGTCTGAAAACAAGTGTTTTTCTCATCAGTTTTTCTATATCAATTAACATATATCGACTGGCTTGACGAGGAGAACCTTTAAGTGGAATAATTCTCTTCGTTAAAGTTTCTAAATCGTGTATTGTTTTTGTTGAATAAACAAGTTCTATATTATTACTGAAAAAATGAAAATGTAATGAACAATTTGATGAAATTGTAAAATGAATATATGTATTTGAAAGAAATATTTCATCTTTTATTGTATGCCATGATGAACAATGATTATTTTTATCTAAATAAAGACAGTAGTACATTTCAAACATAAAATCATGAGATTTTACTTGGCTGTAGTCGTTCGAATTTATATATTTTATTTTGTTGATTTTTTGAATTGAGTTCTAATCGACTCCAGTGACTTAAACCATATTGAGCAATTTGTATTGGATAAAGATGTCCATCCGATTGCCATTGAGATGAAACGGGTATATCTAAAAATTATAGTAAAAACTTTGATTGTTACTATATACTGAATCCTACCATATAAAAAATCAATGTATAATACTCGATTACGTTGTTCAACATTGAAATAAGCAAAATTAAGATATGATCCACGAGAATTATGTTTAAAAGATGATGAAAGTATACGATAAGTGTTGTTTTGATAATGAATGAGCTATTCGAAGTAGAAATAGAAAGATCACTAATGAATGATTACTTACTGTAAAAGGTGATTGTGAGTATAATGATATAGGATTTATGTTATATATTCGATAAAATAGAAATAAAGAAATACTTAAGAATAAGATATAGTTTAATCGACGAAAACGACATCGCATATCTAAGAAATAAAATCAACTTTTAGCAATTTTCAAAGGCTTTGAATCATCTTCAAACTAGAAAATGATTTATTCAATATATTGCTATAAGGAAAAAAACTTCTTTTTCTAGAAGGATATTTAATAGTTATGTTCAATCGTAATTAAAAAGTTAACATATTTACGCATAAAATCTATGAGAAACAAAAAAAATATAATTTACATGAATAAAAAAAGGAACAAGAAAATCTATAGAAATATCAAATTTAAAATGTAGTAATAAAATAAATCTATTTTGTTTCATGATATTTATCTAAAGCATATTGATATAGTTCAGAACATTGTTGAGTTCGTAATGGTTTCCAATGTTCATATACATTTTCATCAGAATATTCTTTATATAAACGTTTTAATTTGTCTTTTTTCTTTTCTGATCTATCGATTGAAGTACGACGATGCTTTGATTTCAATTTTCGACGTTGATATCTTTCTAATTCTTTATTAGAAGATGTTATTACTTGTCGATCAGAAGATAATGAGCGACTTTGATTTTGTGAAGATACAGATAACTTATGTTGTGGTTGTTCAATTTCAGTTGATGATTCACTAGTATGATATGATGAACGAGGTTTGAAAAAAGGATTAATATGAATTTTAATTGTATTGACTGTTGGCTCTTGTGAATATAAGAAATCATGATTAGAAACTAGAAATCAAGAAAAAATAAAGAAAAGTTAAACATGAGAAACAATAAATATTACGGTTATAATTATTTGTTGAATAATTTAGAATGGATGTTGAGTTTGCATCATACTGATAATTATAATAAAGTTGATCAGTAGTAAATGTTGAAAATGTCGATGGTTCATAGTAATATTCATTAAAATATAGATTTGATAATGTAGATGATATATTCATGAAAAGATAAAATTAGAATATGAAGAACAATCGATAGTTTCTTTACTATTCTCTTTAGATAATAGATAGATAGATACATGTACGCAGATTATTTTTCTTTTAATTCAATAGATGACGCTGATCGAACTTTTGAATAACGTCAACAACAATATAGTTGAATTAAATTCTATATTAAAATTCTTTCTACAAAAAAAGATCTTCGTTTACATGATAAAAATTAGTCAAAAGAAAAAACATAAATTAATTAGGAACAGCTTCGCTAATTGAAATTGGTGTTTCTGTATAATGTAGTTGTTTTAGTTGAAAACCACTTTGTTTTAAAAGATATTCCTATTGCCATTGTGTACGTTCTTTTGCACCTAACATTACCATCATATGCATATCGATACTATGTGCAATATTATTAATAGTTATATTTTGTTCATTTTCTGGTAATATAACAAATTCAATAAGAAATAATGTCACTTATTGTTCATTAGCTGCTTTTCGAATAGCTTTAAAAATATCAATTAACTTATCTCCACTGATAAATTGATATCGATCTTTTGATATATTTTTTAAGTATTTGAGATAAAAGTAAACCTAAACCATCAACAATTTTATTGAATCGACCAAAGTCAATAGTATTAATAAGTGGTTGACTGTAATTTTTTGAGATACATGTCACAGCTTCATTAAAACCACTAGCAATTTTTTTATTTTCTTTTTTTTGAAAGAAATCAAAAGTTGATTGATTACTGATGACATATTGAACTCCAGTTCCTTTATTAGGACCATCCCAACAAATTAAATATAACGAACATGTTCAGTTAATTCGAAACGATTTGTTTTTTCTGGTTCGATTGTTTGATCAGATTTTATTTCACGTACAATATTAGCATCAGTTACTGTACGTAAAAGTCAATAAAGATATTCACTATTCCTTCCTTATTTTTTTGCTAATTCTTCAGCTGTTTGTGGTTTATCAACAGCTGCAAAAAGATCAGCAATACCTAATTCAGCAAATGTGCATATATATATATTTGTTTATCGAGTTACGCTTTTATTGTTCTTCATTGTGAATATGTGACAAATCATGCATAAAATAAGAGATTGAATTTAGTACATAGACAGTCCAGTGTTTTTAATAGAAATCTGAAGTAGAATACCTTTCAGCACGTCGAATGTGTAGCCAGAGTATCAATTGATATTTTGTTTTGAATGGCAAAATACCATATCGTGCCAATGGTAAAAAAACAATTTGAGGGTGTGGATGTGCATATTCACCTTTTCTTTTTCACACCCACACCCAAATCTAGACTTTCAACTCTTGTAAATTTACTTAGATCTGATGGTGATCTTTCTAATAAACAAAGATAGAAGTTTATTTCATTAAACTGAAAATAAAACAATAAAGATCATTGAAGTAAAACTGAGTTACAAAGTTTTTAATTAGTCCACAAATCTAAATAGTAGATAATAGTTTCCACGTTGAGCACTGGCAAACTTATAGTTTCCATACGAATAGAGCATATGAAAATCTTTCAGAATACAGTAGAATGTCTATAAAGACATAGTAGATGTCGTGCAGTACATACTATCGAGATAAGTTGCTTATTACAAACTTATCAAGAGGTAACTAATTTTAATATGATTAAATACATGTTGCGATGACGAAAAATGTGTGAATTAGTGGTAACATTGATCTGCCAGAGCAACATTTTCTTATAGAAATAGTAAAAGAAATTCGTATATTACATAAGAATTAGTTATTGACTATTTATTACATTATGATTTGACAATAATTTCTTGAAGATTATTAAAACTAATATGCAACACATCCATACTTCGTCTTTCTTTTAATCATTCAGATTATATCTAACAAAACCAAATTACGACTACAACAATCATGTTTTTTGGGAATATTTCTCTTAGATTTCGTTTTAATTGATAATACTAGATGGTTTGAGTATAAGAGAATATTGACTTCAGTAATTGTTTCAGTTTGCAAGAAAACTAGTTTCTATTGATTTTATCATCAATGAGTTGGAATGAATTAAATATGGAATTCCCTTAAAAACAATATATTTAAGATCATTTTCTCATAGTTTACTTTCATAAAAGAAGCATTAATTAGTTTAAATTGAAAGGATTCAAGTACATATGGATTTATATTTATTATTATCAGTGATTATATAAGATAATATTCAGATATACATAATGTAACTAATATATGGCAAGTTATTCGTTTTTGAAAGACTCTTAGATAATTAAATACAATTCGAACTCTTTTGAAATACATAAATAAAAACAATTTCTCTTCTCCTTCTTAACTGATGAGCACATACAGATAAAAAAATTTAAAAATGATTTTAAATGTCAATTTCTTATCAATAAATAAACTAACTGTTAAATTATCTCTCTATTATTCATTAGATCATTCAAAGTTGTATCATAATCGAATTCTACCTTGTAAAACTTCTGTAATATATTTTCATATAAGTTAATTAACTTATCTTTGAAAATAAAACAGTTAATAATCTATCGGTACATGTCCGATGAATAACTAATGTTATTATATTGATTCATTTATTTCTTGTCGTAATTATAATAAGTATTTCTTTCAGAAAAACAAGAGAGATATATCATCTCTAGTTAAACTTTACATATTATACTCAAATGATAGAAAACTAATAAGACGTGTAGGTATAGCTTGAAAGTGAGTACTAGCATTACCTCAAACTTACATCATCAAGATATTTTCTTGAATTAGTCTATATCGATATGAAGCATTTGCTTTTTGAAATCTATAAATAATAATGTTTGTTATAGAAAAACAATACATTGGAAATCTCTGTACTGTATATTAATCTCTTGATGCTTTCGGTCGATACTTTTATGTGTGAATGAATGTATAAGTGTCATATTTAACTTATACTCATATTCAAACATATTGTCCTATTTATTCCTTAGGCACATGCGAAATAATATGATCTATAATCTTCCATGCTATTAAAAAAATATTTTTGAATTTCTAAAGCCCAGTGAAAGTCAGTATCCTCGATATGTTCTCTAAAGGTGGAGAACATTCTGTGCTGATACTAGCAATTCATTTTTATTGTTCATCTGTACTCTTGAGAATTCGTAACTGTATAGAATTGTTTGTATTTCACAATACACTTTTACCCAGTAGAATATGTTTTTCTTTCTCATTTCATCATTATTTTATTATGAAATATTCAAGTTTCTTCCATTTCAATGAATTATTTTCTTGTCACGTGTCTCTTTCTCGGATTTTTTACTTTAAACTTTTTGCGTAGTTGCAAAAAAAACAAAAAGAAAGAGGTAGGAGAAGACATAATAATTGTAGAGTTGTGTATTTGCATAACTAACTCACGAATCATTCGATCAAAAAAAACACATTGTGACGCATTCACAATAACTGATTATTGCAATTTTCTCAGTTCCTCCCATTTTAACAATTTGATTTTGGTAAGTTATTGATGTAAATGATTTTAGTAATAAAATAGAGTATTTTAAATATCATTTATTCTATTAAAATATAAGAAAGTATTAAAATAGATTTTATTTTATTTTTGATGATTAGTTTTTCTTTGAAAAGTAATTCATAAATATATAATAAAGATTTTCGTTTGTAAATCTTGCTAACGCTAGCATCATATAATGGTGTTTCTTGGCAGTTCTTGCATAACTTCTGTCTGAGGGTACTAGGTGAATACAATGTTTACACCCACACCCAAGCCCACATCCTAAAGCTGTTCTCGAGTAGTTGACAAACACTATGTCGTCTTTTTATCAGATTTTGTGTTAACGAGTTCTTAACTAGTGAAGCCTTATCAACAACTTGCAAAAGTGGTATTAGTATGCTTAATAATATTTGAAAATGAACCCAAATTAAATATTTTAGCAAAATTGTTCTTAATAACAGTTAACGAGTGAAACATTGAGATGATACATTAATACCTTATTTCGACCATTTATAGGAGCTCGTAGAGAAATTATCAAGTATGCAATTTTTCCACATAGAATCCTTGGTTTGACCTCTGTCTATTTGTCTCAGTTGTAGAAAAATCACCAACATGTATCTTAAAAGTGCTGTTTAGTGCAAAATTGTCTTTGCAAGTCGTGGCTGAATTATGAAAACATAGAAGATATAAGAATTTGATGTAAGTATTACAAGCAATAACAATAGTCCAATGATATAAGTTCGCGAAAAGTCGGTTCAGATTGAACAGTGAGGAGACGATAGATAAGAATATAAAGCATTCAGCAATTGAAAAATCTCTCGATTACTAACAGCTTGCTGTCACAATTACAGTTTCTGTTGATAGTTTTATGCGAGATATCATCATGTATTTATGAAAACTGACATAGCACATAATGTAGATTTGTAACTTTATGTAAGATAAGAGAAAAAGGTGTCATAAAAGGTAGGTAGTGACAGAAGCTCGTTATTATGACATCAAAACAACTGCAACTATTTTCAAGCATTATAAATACTTTTCTCTTTGATTATTTTTTCAGAAACTAATCATTTCAGTAGTGTACTATGGCCACAGCAGAAGCAGAAGGTGAAGCTGTTGCTCAACGTATTATACGTATCACAGATATTGCTGAAGAACCACTTGGATTTCTAGTACCTATTAGTGGCTATGGGAAAATGCCACTTGTTTCACTTGAAGATGCAGTCCAACCACTAGTTTCTATTTTACCAGAAGTTCAAAGTCATGCTTATGTGGCTAAACAAAGATGTAAGACACCTGCCGATGAATTAACGCAAGACGAGTCTGCTTCAATTATGCTCTATACAATGGGATGGGAACCACTCGATGAATGTCTCTATGTTGCTCTCAACCAGACATTACGGTCACCAGAACGACAACAAAAACTCAAGCCGTGGTATCTGTATTTAAGACTTTTTCTTAATGCACTTTTTCGTCTTCCACTGCTTCACAAAATAGCATACAGGGGTGTGAAATTAGATATGAAGAAAAAATACATCCAAGGAGAAACAGTTGTCTGGTGGGGATTTTCATCTTGCACTGTTGTTCTTGATGTTTTACAATCGAAACTATTTTTGGGAAAGACGGGTCCCAGGACAATATTCAATATAGAATGTGAATCTGCAAGAGATATTCGCAAACATTCTTACTATCCAACTGAAGATGAAGTGTTACTGTTGGCGGGTACCCAATTCACTGTAACTGGTTGTCTTGATCAAGGTAGTCTTCATATCATTCACCTGAAAGAAACTCAAGCACCACATCCGCTTCTACAGCCAGTATCAGTTGTCGCTCCTCAATCAAATAATCTATCAATAGCAGGTAAATGGAAACGAGTTTCAATTTGACATGCTCCTTCATCATTGGCGATAGGAAAACGATAATGAAAACTTAAATATATGAGTGGATTGCGACTTTTTGGTACAGTTGTGATTTTAAGTGTATTTCGCGGTCAAAAAAAGTGAGCTCGGAATTTGGAGTTTACGGATGTCTAGTTTTCACTGAAAATATCAGCTCAGAACTTTAATCGTCTGTTTCTGTTTGCTCATATAAATACTCTTGGCTGCTTTGGGTTGACCGATATTATTCAAGAAAAAAAACATGAAGTTAAACGTTGGAATTTATTGAAATACAACAAAGTCGTTAACTCCAAATTTCAAGCTCACCTTTTTTAACAGTATATTGATAAAAACTTCTGTTTGCCTCGACCGATTTCAACAATTGTTTTTATATTTTATAGTGCTTTGAACATCCCACTACCGTGCAAAATTTTAGTTCATTAGTTCATAGTGTCGCTGAGCTATAAAAAATTCATGGTGAAAAAACGTCATTTTTTCATGATATATGCTAATAAAAGGAAATTTTTTGATTATGAAGAGGCAAGAGGAAAAGGAGATAATCGACGAACTTTGTGCAGTTTTTGGCACTATATCGAAATATCTACTTGATTTACGTTTGAATTTTCATTAGTGCGTTCATCTACCGTTTACATTGTTTAACAAACACTTATGCGTTTTTGTGTAGAGTGACAAAAACATGATTCTAGCTCACTCAACGATAGAGCTGGCAGTGTGGGCATCATATGAAAAGAAAGCCAACACTTTAACTAGCAAACTGATGCGAAAAGGTTCTCTCTTATCAAGGTCGTTTTAAAAAAACAATAACAGGATTTTCTGAATAAAGGGAATTTTATTCACTTTGTAGAGTGACGATTTGAAGATTGTCTGCTTTAGAACTCTAGCATGGATCTTTAGATTTTGCTCAAATTTTCAGAGAATGTATAAAATAAAAAGTTGTATTAGTGGTAAAAAATTCACGCTTTGACCTCGTATCCTTCAGGAGAAATTTACATTATACTAAAAAATGTATTGACACTTTTCTGTAGATATATCGACTTGATTCCATTCAAAAATGTTCTTTTCAAGTACATTGCAACTCAGCAAAGTATATTGAACATGTCTGTATACTATTTGAATTTTCCAGCTACTGGCTTCTCTTCTAAAACTGATTAAATAACTCAAAAGTTTGCTATAGAATACGCCTTTTACATTGAGTTTAGTAGAAAATGACCTATGTACTGCTTATCTCGCTTATTATACAGTGAAGTGTTGCAAAAAAATTTGTGCATAATACAGGCATAGAGTATAGTGAAATGCACTACTCAAAAGTTGCTTAGATCCACTTTCAGTTTTTCAGGTCAATTATATCGAAAAGCTGCAATTCACTCATATATATGTCACTTATTCGACGCATGATAAATTATGAACATAAAGAATTAATTTAGTAGTTTCGTAAACATTTACATTAGCAACACACTTTGGATATAAATTTTGATTATGTCAGAATAGATGTTTAAACGTAGACTTTCACTCTCGTTTAATACCAATTCCATCGACGATCTTTAGTATTTAAGTTTTCCTCGTATCATCATATATCACTCGCTCTTAATACAAAACATAATGTCATCTTGACTCTTTCTGTCATAAACTCTAAACTTTTTCAAAACACAACTCAGCAGGAGAACAGACAGCTGGTCCTGAAGGCACGGGTATAGCAGAAATAGCAACCACCATCAAAAGGGTTTTTTTTTAATAATTTATTTTTATTGTTTTAGTCGACAATTCAAATGAGATCCATTCCAAAACTTCTTTAACATCATCTAAAAAAGGTAATTCAAACAGTAATATTCAATCAAACGAAGGTCCAAATATTAATGGATCGAAAAAATCTACACGGCAACGTCATTCATTCGACCCCATTCATGCCGGTTAGTAATTTGCATTTCCTCTCGAGTTTATAAAAAAGATAATTTATTCAAACTTTTATTTTATTTTATTATTTTCTATTGAAAAAATTCCAAATTCTTATGAAAAGGCAAAAAAAATAATTTTATTATGAATGAATAAAAAGATGAATATGTATGTAATTATTTAATTTATAATCATAGATACAAGTTGGCTTAATCCACAATATCATGAGAATATTGAATCAGGAGGAACTTCGAAACTTTCAAAAGGACAGGTATGAATTGTTTTATCTTTTTTTCCAATTTATATAGTTGATATTCACATCAAGACAAAACTTCCGAACTAAATAAAATCTGCCTAGATGTTCATTATTTAATTTCTATAATCAAACTAGATTACACATTATTTTTTAAATAAGATTCTAATATTGAAAAACTTATTTTAATTCAACACTGTATTTATAACGATCATGTTTTAGGTTTTTTAAAATTTAAAATTATAATCGATAATTCTACTTATTTACATGTTCCTTTCATATGAATTCATTTTAATATCGATCCGGACTTTTATCATGTTAAAAAAATCGAAAAATAAAGTTTTTATAATAAGTATTTTACTAGAATCATCAAATTAAAATACACATTTTTATACTAAGATAAATTTTATTATCCTAGTTTTAACTATAGAAATGAAAAAGCAGAACTTTTTAGCAGAAGTCAATAGAATAATAAAAGACTCTTTTTTCTAGCCGATTCTATTTTTATAACTTAACAAGTCTTTGATTAATATAATTAACTGAAACTATTTTTGCTAAAGAAAAACAATATAATCAATACTTTTGAAAATTATTATCATATTTATAACATTAAATAGAGAATTGTAAAACGATCCTATAGAAGAACCAAAATCTAGATTGAAGCTTTATCATCAAGTCAAATATTCTTGAGTGGGTAGAATAAATAAGATAAACCCATACCCTCACCCACACCCACACCCTCAAGATGGTATTACAACTTACCAAGAGTATATAAATAAGTACTTTAGTACAGGATAATAATGCGTCGCACCACCCTCAATCGATAACAATGAATAATGATGAAGGTGGAACACGAAAGCAACGTCCAACACATCATCCATCAAAAAATTTAGAATCACACGAATTACAGTGTTTATTTGAGATACTTGGAAATAATCGTGTGGTAAGAAGAAAAGAAAAAAAGAAGATTTTATTTTTTATTTGTATAAATACAATTTTCTTAGACTTTAGCAACAGCTGTTGTTCAAATCTTCCATGGATATAATGGTACTTGGAGAAAACAAGCATGTGGAGTATTGTGTTTTGTAAAAGATTATGATAATCGAAATTATCATTTTCGATTATATGATCTTAAATCAAAACAAGCAATCTATGAAGAAGTAGTACCTGTAATACTTCGGCTTGAAAAAGCAACGGATGTTTTTTATACATTCGATGGATCTTATTGTAAAATTGGAATAAATTTTGTTGATCATGATGAAGCACAAACATTTTCTCATGATTTTGATTCGAAACAAGGACATCGACAAAAAAAGAAGAAAACAAATGCAACAACAAAAGTAACACCACCAAACATTCAACCACTTGTTTCATCACCAGGTTTGGATGTGGATCATATATATACACCCACATTCTACCCCACCTTTAATACTCCACAAAAAAGCAGGCACCGCAAGAAATCCAAGTTTTTTAACACTTAGTCGAAGAAATAAGAAAACTAATGGGAAAATGTACTTCTGATCACCAGAAAAAGATACAAATGATCATCAACTTTATTTTTAATTAAACTAACCATTTTGAGGGTGTGGGTGAGGATGTTTGAGCGGGCGTGGATGTGAGTG